AAAGTAATTAAAAAAGCTTTAAATTAAATAAACTAGCGTTAAAATAATAAAGTTCACGCAGGTGCTAAAAATAAAAAAAAACCTAGAATTAAAGTAAAGGGTCCTAGTATTAAAATAATTAAAAAAAAAGTTATTAGTAAAAAAACTAGTAAAAAAATCCTAGTTAGTAAAGCTACGCCTTTACTACTTATACTTATAAAAGCTATTAATTAAAATAATAAAAAGTAGCTAAATAAGCTTTTTTAGCATAATTAATAACTTTATATTTCCTATAAATAGTTACTTGTTTTTTATAAGCTAAAGCTATTAATTTTATATTTAAACTATAAATACCTTAATAATAAAAGGTAAAAAAACCTTGGGAATAGCTAGCTGCTTATAAAGTAATTTATTAAATAAAAATTACGCGATTTAATAACACGGTAGTTAGTATTATAAAGTTTAAATAAGTAATAGCTAAAGAATTAGGCAAAGCAGTCTTAATATTATTATATTTTACTATTATTAATATAAATTAAAGTTTTAAAGTAATTTAACTAGTTATAATAGGTTAAGCTCTTATAAGCTACTAAAAAAATAAATTAAATTAATATTTATAATTATTATATAATAAATATATGTATAGTTAGCTTTACTATATTTTAATATTTTTAATATATTATAGTTAGCTTTAATATATGCCTAGCTAAAATAAACTTTGATATAGGCTTAAGCTTGTTATATTACGTGCAGGTTTTAGTAGCTAAAGTAATAAAAGGGTTTATAATAAAAAACACCTGGCTAAAAAGGTATAAAAAAATATGTATATTAAGAAAATATAATTATAAAAAAGGTTTATTAATATAATAGTTTTATAAAAAAAGGTGTAAATAATAAAGGTACGGATAACAAGATTATGGTGGTAAGCTTTAAGGGTTATGTGTAAAAAGGTAAGTTATTTTAAAGTAAAAAAGCATAAGTCCACGTGATATAACTTTGGCTTTAAGTAGTTATTAACGGGATTGGTTAGATAAGGGTTGGCTAATTAAAACGGCAGAATTTACTTAGTTAAAATTTGCTAACCCAGTCATTCCCGGGGAACTGACTTTTAAATTGCAGTCCTAAAGTACTGCAAATTAAAAATACTTAAAATATTTATAGTAATTATAGTAACCTTTTAGTTTTATAAAAGTATCATTTTTATATTATAGGTAAAAAAGGCCACTAAATCCATGGTTAAGTACTTAAGTAAAATATTATATTATTATAGGCTTAGTACCCCTTGCACCAGCATGGTAAAAGTAATATAATATATTATAATTTATTTTAGTTTTTTTAATACTAAAAATAGTACTATAAGATGCTAAAATTAGGGCAAGAACTTATTTTTTTTATTTTTTAAAAGTATTACCACCTTTGCAAGCTTTTATAGTTAAAAAAAGTATTTTAGCTATAAGTAATAATTATATAACCTATAAATAGCTTACTTAATATACTTTTAATAAGCCTTTAAAATATAAATAATTACCTAGTTTATTTTAGGAAAGGTACTACTCACGCTAATAATATTTTTTTAACCTTTTTTAATAAATTTTTTTTAATTAATAAAAATACTTATTTTTTATTAATACTTTAGTGCTAGGGAATTAAAGTTTAAGTTATTATTTATATTATAATACTTTAATATTATTTTTTATAAAATATTAGCCTTTTCCCGCGTGTTTTTAATTACTTTATTATTTATTAATAATAAAAAAGCCTTAAGCCTAGGCTCTAGCTTATACCATGCTATTATTTCATATAATTTTTAATTATTTTTAATATTATTAATTATTTTAGTTTAGTATATATGTTTAGTCTTATAAATTATAGCTAAAAACTATTTTTTTACTTTTAAGTAGGGTTTACTACCCAGGCATAATAATTTTTTATATATTTATTTAATTATTAAAAAGCGCTATAGCTTTTTAAGTTAGGGTGTTTATTTATAGCCTACATGGCTTTTATAATAATATTATTAAAAAAATTTAATATATTAATTTAATACTTCCGCGCCACTAAGCTTTTTAGGTTAAAATAAAAATATTATTTTATTTTTAATAAGTTTAGCTAAGCACTTTAACTTATAGTTTTATATATTATAATAATATTATTTTAATATTTTTTTCCTGCGCCCTGGTATTATAATAACTAAAGTTTAATAATTAAAGTTATTATATAACTTAGGTATTACCAGCGTGCAGGCAAAGGAAATATTTAAAAAAAATTAAATTTAAAATATAACTAGCTTTATATATAACCACGCCTGGTTTATTAATATAATTAATATTATTATTACTAGCCTACTTAATAATTTTATTACTATAATATAGATTATTTACCCCAGGCTTAAAAATATTATAAGTAATATTAAAATTTTTATTAATTATATAATTTAGGGTAGGAACTAGTATAACTAGGTAATTAATTATTTTATAAATAATTAATTTTTAATATATATTTAAAATCTTAATATTATTTATTATAAGCTAAAGTATATTTTAGCTTTATACTAGGTAATGTTATTTAGCATGTAATACTTTTTTTTATAAATATAAGTAAGTATTTTAGGGTACTTTTTTAACTAGCTTTTATAATTATTTTAGGTATTTACTAGTATATAATACTTATATATTAAATAATTTTAGGTTTTTATATTTATAGCTATTCAGGGCTTTTAAATATAAATAATATTATAATTTTATTTATAGGCTAATTATAAGATTATAGTATAGCTAAATATAAATTTATTTATATTTATTTAATAAATAATAAAATTTTATTATTACTAGGTATTATTATAATAATAGTTATTATAGTGCCTTTTTTAATACTTTATTATTAAAGCTTAAAGGGGGTTTTAAAATTAACTTTTATTACTTAGGGTAAAAAGGGCGTGCTAGTACTAGCCTTAGCCTAGGTAGGTTAAATTAAATTAATAAAAAGCTACCTAAGGTTTTAATTTTTAGTAAAAGTATTAAACTATAAGGTATAATAATTAATAATTATTATAAAGCTATATTTATTTACCTTAGGTTTTTTCATGGCGTGCTTTTAGGGATTTTCCTAAAATAAAAATTATTTAATTTTAATTTACAGCTAGGTATTTATATTAACTTAGGTATATATATTTTAATACTAGTAAGTGCTATAATAATATATATTATTAAATTTTTTTAAATAAATAAATTAAGAATTTATTTTTATACCTAGGGCTGCTAGGTAGTTATTATATTTTATTAATTATAAACCTAGGTAATTTATATAGTATAAAAATTTTTATAATTAGGGCTAATAAAACCTAGGTAATTTATAATTATTATATTATATTATATATAGCGCGCTGCGCGATTATAATATACTAGGTAATAATATTTTTAATAATTAAAGTTATACTAAAAAACTAGCTAGTATTTTTTAATAAGCTAGTAATACTTATTTTAGTTAAATAATATAAAGGCCTTGGGCTACGTTAAAACTGCGCGATTATAATATACTAGGTAATAATATTTTTAATAATTAAAGTTATACTAAAAAACTAGCTAGTATTTTTTAATAAGCTAGTAATACTTATTTTAGTTAAATAATATAAAGGCCTTGGGCTACTTTAAAAAAATATTATTTAAATAATATACCTAGTATTAAAATTAGGCTTATATTTTAAAAAAATAAGCTTAATTAACTTTAGCCTAGTTTAAGCCATAACCTTATTTTAAATTAATTTAATAATATTTATTTTATTATTATTATAAGCTTTAATAATACTAGGTACCCCTTACACCGCGTAATTATATTACTTTTTAAAAAAATATATATATTAATAATACTTAAGATATAGTAAATTATATTAACTACTTTATTAATTATTAAAAAATTTTTAATAAAAAAATTATTAGGGATAATAGCCTAGCTTATATAAGTAATATTAATTTTAAAAATAGCTATAATTATAGTTAATTTTAGTATATACTTAATAAGGGCTTATTAAATAATATATACCTTTAGGCATGTTATTAACTTATTATTAAAAAAGGTAATTAGCACCTTATAATTATTACACATGATTAAGGCCATAATAAAGCTATTATATATTAATTAAGATATTAAGGCACCTAACTTAATAATTAAGGGTACCTTGCCTAAAATAATATTAATTAAGGTAAAAAAACCTACTTTAAAAAAGGTAAGCTAAGCCCTTAAATTTTTAAGGGTTAAACTTATTTTCCCCTAAATAATAATTTTATTAAAAGTTATTATAATAGCAGGCTAATTATATATATATAAAAAAATATAATTAATATTATTAATATTAATATAGCCCTTTAAAAAAATAAAGTATATAAATTTATTATAAATATTATAAGTAAAGGTTTTTTAATTTTAAGTTTTTTACTTAATTATAAAGCTATTATTTATAATTTTAAAGCTTATAAAAATTTTATACTTAATATATACCTAGCACTTTTATTTATTAAGTTAATTATAAAAAGCTTTTATTATTAGGCTAAGCTAAAAAGTTAGTATATTATTATTTTTAATAATAAAAAAAATAGGCTTACTAGGGCCCTTTTTTTATTTTTTTATAATATAAAGGTTAAAAAAATAAAAAGTTTTATAACTATATAAAATTAGCTAAATTAATACCTATAAGTTAATTAAAAATACATGCCTTAATTTTAATTATTATACCACGGGGAGTAGTAAAAAAAAATTAAAAATAAAATTAAAATAATAAAAATATATATTTATAAAACTTTTAAAGCATTTAGAGCCCTTATTTAAAGGTACCCCTAGATTGCTGAGAGTTATAAAGGTGACATAATCAGCAAGGGCTCCGAGGTACGTGGCCAAGCATACCTCCGAAGATGAATCACCTGGTTATATCCGTTCAATCCTCTTCACCGAAGCTTGTAACGCGCGTCTGACATCCGATTTCCTAAACCCAGGAGCGCGGCCCAGAAAGGCGAAGCCGGAGAGAAGCCCTAAGTAATCCACATGAGCATACGGCAAGCACAGCCGCGGAGCAAGGGAAACCCACTTAGGAAAAACCGCTCAACATCCAGGACAAAGGACTGGCCACCATCACCCTCCACCTCCAGCCCCATCGCCCCGCTGGCTATATGCAGCGCCGGAAACAGCCCCAGCTCCCCAGCTGCAGTATGATCCCCGTCCAACCCCAGCTGTCTAAGATACCCCTCCACATCACAACAGTCAAACCACTCCCCCCCAAGCCCATACGCTGTGAGTGCCTGCAGCCGTTCTTGCTCTGAGCCAGCCGCAATCCCCAAAACCCGACGTGGCTGACGACTATTCACCGGGGGCCGGGAGATCGGAGTGCCATCCCCATCAGATCCCCGACGCACGAAATGCGTCCCCGCCCCGCCGACACAATAGAACGGCAAGGTAACGATCTCGAGAGCATCTGTCCGCCCACCCATCAAGAGCTGACGCAGGCGTGGTCTGGTTGCGCTGGGATCTTTTATGCAGGGGACAAGGCGGAACACGCGGTAGACCTCGTGTGGATGGGAGCAGGGGTCCGCGAAGAGCCGATACGCGTGCTCGAGACAGTAGCGCTGTAGCTGGCGGGCGAAGCTGGATTCCTGGAATGCGTATGTGTATTGTCTTGCTTGTAGGGGGGCCCTGGGGGTGCATTTACTGGCAGATTGAAGTAGCCCTGGCATGTTGGAACCTGGGACTGGGCCTCGCATACTTGCTGGCTCGGGGGAGGGTGCTTCAGACGAAGAACCCATCTCATCACTGGCAGACTCCTGACCATCGGCCAATAGTCCACGAAGCTGCACTAGCCGGGCATGGATATCCGGATGAGAGAGATGCAGCTGCGCCTCTTCAGCGGTTTCGGATAGCTGCGATAGTGCTTGGTCGACGGACCGCATCCTCGCTTCGAGGCTGTCGGCTCTGGCGGTCGCATCTTTGAACACGGCCTCTTTTTTCTGTCGGTATGTACGCTGGGCGCGACGGATCTGGGCGCGACGATTGCCGGAGAGAGCGGCGTCACTACTTGCGTCCAGAAGGGGGCGTCCGGCTTGTTTTGGCCGGCGGGGGTTCATTGCATGGGACTTGCATTGGACAGGGCGAGAAGGCTTTCGATAACTTGATAACTTTTTGTGGCTATAGCATGTGCAGAATGGGATCTGATATTGTAATCGGGGTTTCCACATGGATGGACCTCGGCTACTCAACGCCCAACAGTCTCCACTGCATCACCCCGGTTCAACAGGTTCAACAGGTCCAACAAATAACATTGAACTCTTTTCATCCTCTCCCGGGCTGCATATTCAGTTCCTCACAGTAAAAACCCCCGACTTCGCCTGCGAAAACGGACACGTAGCCACGCCCCTGCCCTTGATGACATCGATGTCGCGCCCCATCTCCTCCAATCCTTTTCCCCTCTGCGGCTCTGGGCCGATGGTCATCAAGTCGTATCCCTGAGGCAGATACCGGTTTCCGTACGAACCGGGGATTCTCCCGCCGAATATGCGTACGAACATCGCACCCGGTCCCCATCTGGACCGGCGACTAGGCCGAATATACCACGGCTGCAGGCCCTTCCTGTCGAAATTATACAGGCCCGTTTCTGGGTTTCGGGTGGTGTGTACGAGATTCACGGCGAAAATGGCGGGACGTGGAAGGGCAAGGTATCGAAGGAGGAACTTTCGTGATGTGCGGACGAGGCGTAGAGTCATGGAAAGCAGAAGGCTGGGGGGTTCGAGACTGGGCCGGTCAGCAACATGAAAGTACGAGCCATTCCGAGCGGATTGAAGTAGATGGTCTGGCCTGGATGGAATGGGCACGGCAGAACTCACCCAAGACTCGCCCTCATAATATGGTCCAGATCAGCCCCCAGCATCTGTCGAACAGCCGGTCTAAGGAAGCCAGGAAGCGCAGAGTCAACGTAGACCCGGACGTACTGATCGTTAGTGGCCGTCGGCCGGGCGACTTTCTCTTCGTACTCGATTGTCCACCTGGTCAGTTCCAGCGCGAAGTGCAGTCCATCTTTCCACCCTCCAGCTTCTGCTTTGGGGTTTGAGGGAAGCACATCAAACGGTATCTCCATGTCCTCACCTAAAGCCCGGTGGAAGATCCCAAGCGCACATTTCTCGACGTCCGTGAGCCCCCGCCACTCTTCCCTCTCGACGACGTTGACGATCTCGGCGAGACCATCGCCAAGGGTATGCAGGAGGTCATCGTCGGTGATCTTGTTGGCGCGGCGGTATCGGGCATGGCTGGACGAGCGCGTTAGTGGAACGACCACCTGCAGACATATCCTTAATGACGGGAAGGGGATTCCTACAGATAGTTCATTCTCGCCACGGCCATTGCATAGCGGTCCGAATCTCGAGGCTGGGACTGCGACTCGCGGAGCAGGATCTCCGTGTCAACAGCGCGCCGACCCGCATTCCGCGTGTTGTTCTGGCCTGTGACGGCGAAGAGCTTCGACATTGTTGGGATTCCTCCGGCCTGTTGAGCTTTGCGTTAATACGCCGTGCGGTAGGCAGCCACGGATTCGATGCAGGCTCTGTCGGTCGTACCTTCAGTAGAGCCATTCGACGCGCCTTGCCGAACGCATATGGGAATTCCAACTCCTGGAGCTGCGTGATGATCGCATGGGCTTCGCTGACTGTCATGCTTGATAGCGGCCTCTTGCCGTTGATGAAGGGGGCCTCGATATTTGCCATGCGGCGGTGCCGGAGCGCCCTGACTAGGGCTATGTAGCTGACGAGGACTGCGAGAGTGGCCGGGCAACAGGAATTGTTCCACATGGCCACGAGGAAGTCAGTGATGAGTGACATCTTGCCGGGGCAGTGTGTCCTTGCTCTTAATTTCAGTGACAGAAGTAAGTTTTTGCTCCTGGGTTCTTTCGGAATAATTTGGAGCATTACTGGTAGTATTTAAGGTGACCGGGATTATTTAACATGCCCATGCCCCATCCCAACAAGTCACGCATGTGGTTCTTTGATGGTGGACTCAAAGTGCCCAACGAAATCAGTATGAACGAGATATTGTAATCAAACCTTGGAAGCCGTGTACCGAGGCGGCCACTGAGATACTCACCGGTCACCAAAGCCAAAGAACAAATGATACCATCTTAGTGGACACGAGCCGAACCTCGGGACAGTGCTGATGTCCTGCTTGCTTGAAAAAGCTCTGGGTCAACCAGAATACGCATGTGCCGAGCCTAGGGTACAGTTGATGTTTGATTATGATATCCGCTCGACACTTGCTGTTTGGAGTAAAGATGGGATTGCTTTAACCAGCGACATCCACTATGTATAAAGATTATAAAGCAGGCACAGCCTGTTCCCCTGACCTTGGTGTCTATATTTACAAGTAGAAGGGTTGGAGTTGTTGGAATAAACAGGACAAGAAGCATGGTGCAGAGACTAAGGGGCCGAAAAGTGCAGGTGGGAGAAGAATGCTGGCGCCAAGTGCTATGAATAGGTCTATAGGGCTTGTCTGGTAGTTACCTGCCTTACAATAATACCCTTCTCCTTCGTATTCTTACAGAGTAGTAGCAAGCACTTGCACTCTCATCGAACCCTAAGTAAGCCCCCAAGACAGTATCCTATTCAGCCTCAGTGGAACTGCCGTGCCGTGATTGGATGGCTCGTCTATATACAACCCTACCCTTATAGTTATAAATACAAGAACTATCACGCCCTTCTGAAGCTGGAGTTTTATTGGCCGGCTCGTTTATATCCGCAAACAAAGTGTTCAAATCGAAAATAAGCTGAACATTGACTATAGCATGCTACATATAAAGGTAGCCTTCGTCCCCATCATTTCAACCCCAAACAACACCATAGTCAACCATCATGTCTTCAGAGCCCTACGACTACATCATCATCGGCGGCGGTCTCGCAGGCTGCACCCTCGCCGGCCTCCTCTCCACCACCCCATCCCCCCCACGCATCCTCCTCATCGAAGCCGGCCCCTCCGTCGCAACACACCCCCTCACATCCTCGCCCCTCGCCTGCTTCGGCGCACACTTCTCCCCGCTCGACTGGGCGTACAAAACAACCCCGCAACCGCACCTGAACAACAGGGAATGCTACAACGCCGCCGCGAAGGCGCTGGGCGGCGGGTCTGCGATCAACTACGGGACCTGGACGAGGGGGAACAAGGCGGACTATGACCGCTGGGCGGAGATTGTGGGGGATGAGCGGTGGAGCTATAAGGGGTTGCTGGGGAGTTTTAGGGCTATGGAGAGTGTTACTGAGCTGGGTGGGATGCAGAGTGAGGAGCATGGGGTGCAGGGGCCGATTCATAATGTTTCCGTTACGGGGAGTAGTCCTGAACGAAAGTATTCGCTACGAGAGCCGTTGAAGGCAGCGTGGGCACGGCTGGGTGTTAGAGAGTGCGCCGGGACAGCAGGTGATATGAACGCCGGCTCGCCGCTGGGGGTCGGCGAGATGGTCGAGAACTGGCGCGATGGGAAGCGGCAGATTGCAAGTGAGGTCTTTGGGCTTGATGGCAGGGAGAATGTCACCGTTCTGGCGGAGACGCTGGTGCAGAGGGTTCTTCTTGAAGAGCTGGGGCTGGAGGGCCAGAAGGTAAAGGTCGCCGTGGGCGTGCAGCTCGCCGACACAACTAAAGCCGGGACTGGGGCGATCTACCGCGCATCCAAGGAGGTGATTATCTCGGCGGGCGCGTACCGCACGCCACAGGTCCTCATGCTCTCTGGCATCGGGCCCAAGGATGAACTCAGCAAGCACGGCATCCAGACTCTGATCGACGCCCCGGCAGTCGGCCAGAACTTCCACGACCACCTCGCGTACGTGCAGTGGTGGAAGCTGCGGCATCCAGAGCAGGGTCGGTCGATGGGGACGCCGCTGTGGAATAGCCCAGCGTACGGACTGGGCCTTCCATGCGACTGGGTCGTCACGACACAGGCGCCGCGCGACGAGCTCGTCAAGGCATTGCAGCTGGACGGCGTTGACACCGACCATGCGTACCTGGCGCCCGACGCAACGCACATCGAGACACTGATTGTATATGCGCCTGCTGGAGCTCTCGTGTCAGGCGTGGATATCCCCCTCGACGGCACGGTCATTGCATCCGCGGTGCTGGGCATGGCGGCGACATCACGCGGCCGCATCACGATCTCCTCGCCGGCCGCGCAGGATCCGCCGGTGATTAACCCGAATTACTACGCCACCGAGCTGGACCGGACGGTCTTGCGTTGTGGGATCCGGCAGGTCGCGTCCTTGTTGCTTGATACGCCGGAAGGGAAGGAGATTGTTGAAGCTGAGATCGCGCGGCCGGGGACTGAGCCGCTTGGTCTGGGCCCGACGGACGAGGAAATTGATGAGCGGGTGAAAGAAGGCGGGAATACGTTCTACCACCCTGCTGGGTCGGCGGCGATGGGGGAGGTCGTGGATGCGGAGCTTAGGGTTCGGGGCGTGCAGGGGCTGAGGGTTGTCGATGCGAGCGTCCTGCCGCTTCCTGTTACGGCGCATTATCAGGCCATTGTGTATGCGATTGCGCATAAGGCGGCTGGGTTTATTCTTGATAGCCAGGTAGTGGGATGATCATCCACTGATCTAACTGGAGCAACTCGTTTGGCGGTACATCGTGGATGCCTTCTTCTTACTAGCGCTCCCTTATGGACCCAAGATTCGTCGTTCTTTACCGAGATTACTACATGTAGAGCTCAGGATACGCTCTGCGAGGTGACTGGCTCCGGACGCAAGGCTGATGTAGTCTTGGTGTCCAATAAAACATGTCCATGTGCGCCATGCAGCCTCGTTCTCAGTCCCCCCTGCACAGCAATCAAGGCAGATTCTACCCCACCTTCTTGATCTCACCTCTCCTCTTGCTGTGGGTTTAGAGCCAACAGGCGTATCTGGCTAGGCGAAAAGCCGCACGAATAATGGTGGTGCTGCAACGTGACTGTGCAAGCTGCTGCTTACCACGCTTAAAGGCAGGGCTATGGATGTACCGTTCAAGCCAGATCTCCAGCTTCCAAAATTCCTCACAGGCTTGCCCTTCCCAGATCAGCCGGTAATGTCCTAAGGCCCCAGGGGATTTACTAGATCCAGATGGTCACCAATCCCGAGCCTATCGTCTGCGCCGAGGACATCGCCCTATCCTCACTGTTCCACAGCATACCGGTCGCACCAACCCGTAACAGCGCCAACAGCCTACCTACGCCCAGAAAACAATACACCTTGCCCTTTGACACAGAGCGCAGGCTCGTTGGGGCTTTAGCTTTCCTGGCCCATAGTAAAGACGACGTGGACCATATCCCCGCCGTATGTTTGGAAGAAGACGCCGGGTCGGGGTTGAAGGTAATAGTTGCCGTCAACAACGCCCGCTATGCCGATGGTGAGGGTGCGCTTCTGCGCATTGAGCGGGGGTTTGAGAGGATATTCGCGGTTCTGGAGGGTGGATTTACTGCAGGTGGTGAGTGCCCTAGACGCGATTCAAGCACCCGGCCTCTTTTTCTGTTCTTCAGGGCTGACTGACGGGTAGGGTCATACCCACAAGAGAACCTCGAGGCGCAGATCCTCAAAGAGATAGTCGCCATGTGCTCTCTGCGCATCCTTTGTCGGTTACGACTGGCGTCGTCGAGAAAGAAGGCTTCTTTTCAGGATACGCTTCGGCACGCTGTGCTGGCTGTGAAGAATATGCGCCGGCAAAAGCTCGCTGAAAGGGACTTGGTCAAGGCGAAGGAGAAGTTCGAAGTAAGGGCAAAGGAAGTAAACAAGCTCATTGACTCGTGGTCTCGATATCAAGTCATCGTGAACGTGGTTAGGATTGTGGAAGGCGTGCATCAGCTGCAGCAGATTGTTCAGCTCCCGGCGTTGATTCGCATGATACCCAATCAGGCTATGAGCCCAACTGCAAGAGAGAGCTTGCTGAATATCGTTGGCAAAGTCTCCAGATACCACGAGGCTGCAAGGCTTTTGTACCGCACTGCGAAGAAATTCCCGCTTGCTCGGACGATGAAGACGGTGCCTGTTCGCCTTCCCAGGGAGGCATTCGGAATGCCCTCGGGCTTACTCGACAAATACGCGCCGGACCTGTTATCTAAACTTGCAGAGGCCAGCCCTAAACGCAAAGGCAAGGCCCAAGGCCAGCCAGCCGAACTCATGACAGAAATCTGCACAGCCCTAAGCATCCCCCAACAAGGCGCCATGGAGCAGTATTCCAAGCAGGTAATGAAGACCCTAAAAGAAGGCAAATTCCACGCCGAGGTCCAGCTAGTCGCCTACTGCGAGCTGGAAAGGCCAGCAATATATCCGCGCGTAATCTGCTCTAGCAAAGACGCCTGCTTCCTTTGCAACATGTTTCTCCACGAGTATGGCAAGATATATACACCGCAAACCCATGGCCGACTATATCCGGGATGGAAGCTGCCGTGGGTACCGCAGCTTGCAGAAGTAGAACGGCGCTTTGGTCAAGCTATCGGCGACTATTCTAGGCAGAGCTGTGCGAGCCTCCTAGCAACGAGGAAGAGGGTGGCTCTTCCGTGTCCGAATGAGAGTACGCTGTTCACACTCCCGTTATCAAGCACCACGGTAGCCATAGAGTCGGAGTCTGTTGTCTCGGAGGCTTCGGAGACTAGGACCAAGCCCACTCCCATGGCTACACCTGCAGAATCTGCCCATGAGTACGGCGAGCGAAGCAGCGTCCATCTATCTCCAAGCCCATCCCCCGCCCAGTCTAGTGACCATACCGACAAAAGCACCTTAGTCGACGGACCGGGTGTATACAATGATATAACAACAACAGAGGAACACTGCCCAGAGCCACACAAAGCACCAGCGTATCATACCATGGCCCAAAACCTCGAGGTAACCGGAGATCTAGCCCCAGGTACATCATCGGACGTATACAGGGCCGGCCCGCTGCAGATTGAAATCGAGCATGCTACAGGCGTCCGTCACATTACATACCGACTACAGTGGCTGGGCGTCGAGGAAGCCATGCCAATCCAAGCCCATGCCCAAGGGAATGGCTCGATTCCGACTTCAACTCCCTTGGTAGACGCGGAGAACCTTGGCCCCGGCTCTGCGGGCACAGTTAGCTTTTCTGGACAGAACTCGTTATATGTTACCGCGAAAGGAGCTGTGCTGAGGATCAACTGGACGGCAGATCGTCTCGAAAGATCTTAATGGGTCAATAGGGTATTCTATCATCCATAACCCACAGGGTGCTGGTAGTATAACGTACCTAAGGGTCCTTCTCCACGAGCAGGGCCAGGCTAAGCCGGTACCTACCATCCCAGAGGAACAACAACCACGCCACGGAAGAATGGATGAGCAGCGCGGAGCAGGCCGGTGATAAGATACCCCTCTCCCCTCTCCCCATTACCTGCATCAGATACGGCCTCAAGCTGCATGCACATGGCACCCTACCTATCTCCCGAACCCAACCCAAACAGGTACGGACATATCTTCCCTATGCATACTCCAGGATCAGGAACTGTAAGCAGGGGTCTGATGCTGACACTGACAGTGGCGCTTGCAAGCAACCCTGCAAGTCATGCGCACCATAGGCGGGTCGGGACGGACGAACCAGGACCGCTTGGGGCTGGATGGATGGGAATGATCCGGGACTGCCCGGATCGGCTTGTGCAGGTTCAGGCCCGACGTGGCAGTGTCAGCTCAGGCGGACTTTAATCTTTCGAAGCCCGCGTATATAAGCTGGAATCGTCATCGCGAACGCAGCTATGATTCAAACGCCCATGAAGCCTTGTTAGTGACATTGTACTTGTAACAATGAACTCCACCGGTGCTTCTGCGCTCGGAACCCTCGGCCTGAATACATCCACATTCCCACTCGCCAACATACCCTCCATCTTATACGAATGGGCCGCAATCCTCCCGCTGGCCATCTACCTCGCCAACCCCGAGCAAACGCACCAGCTAGTTGGAAAAGCCTCTCTGTCCAAGCACATCCGGACCGCGCCTTTCCCCAAATGAGGTGTTCTCACGCACATCGCGCAGCTACTCCAGGAGGGACCAGACTTCCTGGATCGCGTGAGCTCGATCGGCGGGCTGAGGCATGAGGTATGGGATGCCAACTGGGGGAGTGTATTCCCCTGTGCGAACGGCTCCGCAAGTCGGGTTATTGCGGCGGTGGCGCTGCGCAAGTCGAAGACGATCATCATCCCGGAATCTCTTCTTCCAACGGTACCATCAGGGCCAGCCAGCGTTAAAGAGGCCGCGAGCAGAAGCGTACCCCAGCCTGCTAGCAGCCCGAATCTGGGTTCCGCCGCTATCAGACCCTCCATGTCTTGCAGTTCAACCGAGTGACAAGCGCAGGTCCGAGCAGTAGCACGCGGAACTCCAAGGAGGCCGTGAATTTTCTCTTCGAGGTGATTTTATTCCTCGTTCTAGCCGCCGCCGGGTTTCTCCCGCGTTAACAGACCTGCGCGGGGTCGTCTCGCGATATGCAGAGCTATGGGGGGAGCAAACGCCGCGGTGCTCGTTGTCCTCGCCTTGTACTGGCGACTCCTCGGAGGGTTGCCTACGGTTCAAAGGAGCCATGATAATCAATCAGTCTGCCCATGATGCAAGCTGTGGAGTTAAGGGTCCTTGTTATCGTCTTTGCTGGGACGCGTCGTCCTACCAGGAGATTGGGGCGCGGGCCAGTGTGAGGATAGACAGGCATGCGGCGAAGGGGAGCCTGGCTACAAGGTTACTGTGCTGCAAGCGACCGGACAATGGCCATCTTGCATTTATGGGCGCACGGCCAAGGAGGACGACCGGACACTGGGATCAATGTGTGCTTGCACCGGAGGTATTGTGCTGTGGCGCAGAGACTAGACTGTGATTCTTACTGGATTGACACATGTGTAAGTAACTACATCTTGGTTCCGCGTGCACTTTCAGGGCTAACTGTCCATGGCGTTAGGCATCCCAGAAGACCACATCCTCCGCAGGGCCGCAATAATGTCAATCAATGGCATATTCCAGGGCAGCAAGGCCTGCCTGGTCTGCGATAGGGACGTCATGTCAATCGATATCGCGGCCCTGCAGGACAATACCCTCGCCAAATCCAGCCGGATCATGCTGCAGGAATCCATCCTCGCCACTATCCTTTTCTGCGATTGGAACGTCCGCGCGTGGACATTCCTCGAGTCCATGCAGGGCCGCGCAAAGATCTTTTTCCTCTGCAAGCACAACAACATCTTCTCGCTACGGGAGATCCTCGAGGCCGTCATGCGTGATGGTCAACTCGATATAGGCGTTGCCTTCCTATCGGCTCCGCACTTACTGCCTGCGTCGGTACCCAAGGAACCCTTCGAAGAAGTGGATCGTGTAAAGGAGGACGAGAGCCTTTCTGGCGAGTCCTCAGACCTTGATGATCGCGACCATCCGGACTATAACAAAAAGCTCGTAGAGGCAGCTGCCTGTCTTCGGTACCGGCCTGCCTCTCGTAATGGAGACGCCTTTGTCATCTGGACAATCCTCGCCGGCACGCCCACTCTGAGCTCCGCCGAGCACTTTTGGAAAGCCAGGGAAGGATCCCTCCTGTCAACGGCATTTCCCATGTCCGGGGCCTCTCGTGTCAACGCCAGGGGACTGAGCTGGGCACCCTCCGATCCAACGTCAAGCCCAGTGCCCGACTTGTTCAATCCGCATAGTCGCGCCCATCCCGAAGCGGAGATGATGGACGCCCACAAAGGCGAGATCAAAGACGTTGGGCTCTCGGCTTCGTGGGACGTCTTCCAGTTCGAGTGGCCTGCCCAAGGAGCTGAAGCAGTGGGCGAAGACACAGCATCAGTAAAGAAACTCGGTGAAGCTGTGAGTCGTCAACTGCATCGCACTAGGCGCAAACTAGCTCTACTGCGCCCTCTCATGCAAGATTTCTCTCGCACGAAAGGATTCCGTATCGAGCTCAGGAGTAAGTCAGTCCTTCCATTCGTTGCTGTCTGCGAGTTTGTTGCGGAGGATGGCGGGTGGAGATGGCTCGGGGTTCGAGGGCTGGATTTGAACTATCTTATGCATAGATTCAGCCCGGAGCATGTGCTGTTGGTTTAGTGTGAGTGCATATTTGGTCTCTGGGAGTGCCAGAACCAGATACTAACTATCCATGTCATCAGCTCGTCCAGGCCTTCCCTAAGCCATTGCTGGGATGATCTGCAGGTTACACTGGACTGGACTGACGTGGCTGGAACAAAGAAAGAAGCCCTTAGTGCTTATGTCTTCCTTTGGAGGAAATGCAGCATACCTAGGGTACACTTACATGTTCCTCCCCTTCCCCCGGGCCTCCTCCCTTTTCTCCTCCCATCTCTCATCTCCAAATGCTGCTCTTCCTTGCAACCGCCCTTCTGGGATGGACCTTGTACAGCCTCCTCTGCCTTCTCGCCAACGTCCGCCGCGCCCAGAACATCGGCATCCCATACCACATTGTCCCCGCGAGTCCCGTCAATCCCCTCTGGATCCTGTTGGAGCCCGTGATCTTTTTCTTTTTGGATCTCCTTCCCTTTCGATTCGGTCGCATCCATCACTATGCCCGCCGGACGTGGCAGTTCGCCGACAAGGCCCAGTCGCATCTTCGCCTGGGGGATGCCTGGGCGATTGCCACGCCCGCAGAAGTGTTTGTCTACATCTGCGACGCCGACGCCATCCTCGATATCATTGCCCGTCGCGCTGACTTTGTTCGCCCAATCGAGCTCTACAGTACGACGCTGCCTTGTCTGTATTTAGGTCGAGCTAACATGACCTGACTAGCACTGCTGAATGTGTTTGGCCCTAATATCTCGACGGTTAGTTGCCTTCCTCACCTGGTGCCCTCTTACCCACCTGGTGCTCTAACATCATCCAGACAGAAGGCGCCGACTGGCAGCGGCACCGTAAGATCGTCGCCGCCCCCTTCAACGAGAGCCTCAACAGCTTTGTCTGGCGCGAAGCCCTCAACCAGGCCCAAGGCATGCTGGCCACGAGGACGACCGGGCCCTTCGGAGAGCTAGGAGAAGACACGCGCACGCTGGCCCTGAATGTCCTTGCCGCGACCGGGTTTAAGCGCTCCACGCCTTTCCAGACCAGCCGGGCGGCGCATTCCCAGGACCCACGCTCCTACTCTGAATCGCTCAAGACCGTCATGCTGAATACGTTTGTCATCATGCTGATCCCCCCTGCAATCCTCAAGCTCCCGTTCCTTCCGCGCTGGTGTCAACGTGCCGGGCAGGCAGTCGAGGACTTTAAACAGCATATGCTGGATATGTTCAATACGGAGAAGACCCTGCTTGAGCAGGGCAAGCCAGGCACCGGCACGCTCATGTCGTCCTTTGTGCGCGAGTCCGCCGCGCCCAATGCAAAGAGCACAAGCACAAGCCCAAGCCCAAAGACCGTGCTCACCCTGGACGAGATCCTAGGCAATATCTACGTCGTGAATTTCGCCGGCCATGACACAACAGCCGGGACACTCACATACACCCTCTTCCTGCTCGCCGCATACCCCGACATCCAGCAGTGGGTCGCGGAGGAGATCCGCACCGTCTTTCCAGATCCTAACCCAGACACCTGGGACTACAAGGAGGCGTATCCCCGACTGAAGCGCTGCCTGGCGCTAGTGGTGAGCCCTGGGCATCCCATCCCATCCCATATCTTCTTCAAAAAAAACCAGCTAACAGACACAAGCTCGAAACCGTCCGCCTCTACCCCCCCATCCTCGCCCTCCCCAAATCCGTCGCATCGCCAACAGGAACAACCCTCCGCCTCCCCGAGAGCCGCCGCACCCTCACCCTCCCCCACAAGACCATCGTCCTCCCCAGCCTCCTCGCCGCCCAAATGCACCCGAAATACTGGCCCGACGAGCCCAACACCTGGAACCCGCGCCGGTGGATCAAAACCGCACACGAACACGAAGCCAACCACAAGGACGCAGACGCAGCACAATCCCAACCCGCGACCTCGCCCCTCGCGCACCATCTCGCGCATGAAGAACTCATGGACCCGCGCGCAGGCTCCTACCTCCCGTGGTCGGCAGGCGCGCAAGTCTGCGCGGGGCGCAAGTTCGCACAGGTGGAGATCGTGGCCGTCGTGGCGGCGCTGTTCCGCGGACACCGACTGCGGCCTGTGCTCGAGGAGGGGGAGGGGGAGGACATTGAGCGCGCGCAGAAGAGGCTGTTGCGGACGACGCAGGATAGCTATCAGTTGCTTGTGATGCAGATGCGGGATGCGGATGGGACGCGGTTTGTTTGGGAGCGGACGGGGAGCGGGGAATGAAAGATTCCAAGGCAAGGTATTCCCAACCTTTCATAATGAGTGTGCCGTGGACAGAATATTATATATAAATATGGATGGGTGTTAAAAGGAATCTTCATTTAGGGCTCGGCTAAATACACCCGGGCCGTGCTTTCACCTGCACTGACCCTGAGTCTCCCATACTGTTGAATTTCCATACGAACCCTAGGACTGCTGGGAATACCGGGGGCGTACCGGTATCTAGGTACATCCCGGGGCCATGCAAAGTGAAAGCTCCATTATCACCTTCAGAGCACCAATGATTTCGAGCCTGGTAGCCCCTGTAAACAGTGGATAGGCAACCCTACCCTCACCAAGGCCAATCTCAGAGAAAAAAAAATAGTAGCCCAAGCCCAAGTCCCATACAGAAATGGAGCGGAGCGGACCTTGCTTGCTAGTTCTCATCCTCCCGACTTAGGGTAGGACACCACCTACCCTGTACGCCTACGCCTACGCCTAACCTTGGAATGTACCATAGTCCAGGTAAGGTAAAGGCCCTGCATCCCCGGGCAAGGGAGGATCTTGCCCCGTCCTACCAGTTTACTGCCAATCCGCTACGTAAATCCTAACACAGGAACCGTTGGCTGCGCGAATGAATGATATCCCCAGAGCCCTTTACTCCCGTCGACCCTAGGTCCTGCTGACTTCCACTTCCAGTTGCATCCCATGCATTACCAGTGCCCTTGCCCTGTCCCGTCCCGTCCCGTCATTGGGCTGGAGGAGATAACAAGTGTTATTTAGGGGGTGGAAAAGCCTGGTATGGTAGGTAGTCTATTGCTGGTTTCCTATTGTTGATTGTTTTCTCCCTGGTGCCCCGGTGGGTGTAAGAGTTCCAATGGATCTTTCCTACCTAGAGAGACCCCGACTCGGTCAGGATCCAGGCCAGGCTGATAGAGTAGTAGAAAGGTACAGGAGCGCAGATGCGTACGATGGCAGGAGATCGAAGCGATAGACCCGAGTAGGGGGCTTCTTTTTACTGAAGGCTGTAGAGTAGAGTGGTCGCGTTTGACATGGTGGCTGATTGGCTCACTCGCTATAGTATTTCGAGGCTGAAATGCAGACAATCAACCTCTCCGGGTTTTATAGGGTACGGAACAGGGGCTCAAATTTGGACAGGCACCGGGGCAGTATCCCCACGACTCCGCGACATGTAGGTCCTGGCCTACTGATTCATCCAGGGTTGATCGCTAGTCAACAGGCTGAACATCAACGGATATAGCTGAGATTCAGTATCTCTTCTCTAACGATGAACCAGCCGAGATATCGCGAACCGTAACAACAGAAACAGCATTGCTGTCAACAGTAAAACTGTGTCGCCCGCACAAAAAAGCCCCTCAACACGATCGATACAAGAAAGCCTAAACACGCTCCTCCACGACCGTAACCGCAGACTCCACATCCGATGCGCGCACCTCCCTCTCGCAATAGATCCCCGGACCAAGGATAAACGCCTCATTCGACGCAGCCGACGCGCGGCGATGAGTCGACGTCAGTTGTTCCCGGCTATTATTTGCATCGCGCGATGACGCGGAGTGCGACTGCGTATCGACCTGCGAGACCGTAGTGGCAGTCTTAAGGGTATCCGGACCGTACGCGCTGCGCACGGTCCCGTCGAGCGTCGACAGGGCAAAGGACAGATCATGGATACCGCGAGGGCGTCGGAACGAGCGTTTCGGTTTCGGCGTGGTTGTCGAGGCGGAGTTGCCGCGGCTGGAGGCGAGGCCGAACCAGGTGCGGAAGAGAGGGCCGAGGGTGGCCAGGTTGCCGGCGATTATGCCGAGGCTGAGCTCGATGTAGGCCCAGGTGAGCATGTCGACGGCGGCGTCTGAGAGAGGAGAGTCAGTAAGGGGCAAGCTGGCGATGTGGTGATGTATCACTAGGGGTGGAACACACATAGGGCATCGGACTCGGCGTATCCATCCATGTATGGTATGCGGACGATGATAGCGACCGTGGCCCTGGGCTAGGTTAGCAAGGTCTGATTGTTCCTAGAGAGGCATACGAGACGGTTAGGCACAAGATGCTCAGCACCGCGATCTTGGTTGCTTTGGGCATCTGAAGACCCCAGACTATCATGACTGGTAGGATGATTCCCAGGCTGATATCGATGATGAGCAAGTTCCCCGTCGCCACGTAGGCTATGATCTTGTTTTGCGTGTCGGTGATGCAGGTTCCTGTGAAACGCGGGTCCATGGTCATTTGGTTCCAGGTGTACGAGATCGGCTGGCACCGCACGAGGTCTGCGATGATAACATACAAGCCTTGTATGACAGTGTATCCGAGTAGCATCCAGAGCAGTCGGATCTGGGATGGCTTGACCGTAAGTCGCATCAAGAACATGCAGACCGAGATCTTGCAGATGACTGTCGCAACCCCGTAGCCAAGCTGGGCGATCCACATGTACTTCTCAAGTCAGCTCAGCAGGGAGTGTAGATACTCAAAGAGGCGGATGACCATACCTTGACCGCGACAGCTATTCTCTCGAAGTTGGTGCCGAATCCGATTCTGCGGCCAAGGCCGTAGTAGCTGCCTCCGATGACGCACGCTACGTGCAGGATGTAGAATCCCTATAGTCATCGTCGAATGTTAGCTGTCGATATCCCATGGATAAGAACGCAAGAGGATACGCACAAATGCCAGGATCATAAGTCCATCATCCCAGCCGAGTGCTTTCATAACCCTTCCGCGCATGTAGGCTCGCAGTATCAGGGTCAACAAGACCACTGGGATGAAAGTGATCACAACGACTCGAAGCTGCACTGATCGATCGTCGTTGTCGGCCATGTTGGCTGCGGTATGCTTCATCGTTGTTCTTGAGGGGAGCCGGTATAATATAGGACTAGGATACCATAAGGCTAGGATCGCAAAGTACTAAAAGTCCCCTTGTCCATTGAAACAGTACCGACGGTGTGGTAACCAGTGCGGTGGGAGCGGCACAGCCGTTGTATATTAGTATCATACGCTGGTTTGACAGCGCCATGTGTCGGATCAGCCCAAGCCAACTCGGCGTGATAGGGAATGTGATAGGCAGCCATGGCAGGCATATAACTGGATATGTCAATGAGGGATCGGAAACGAGTCAAACTAAGGCGACGGCCCAGGTCCGGGTTAAAGTCTCCAGCCATCGTTCTTGGGAAACATCATTGCAGCGTCATTTCTCGCATCATGGGGTGGTGTGAGGGTAGGCAGATGGTCCACCGCAATCCGTCATAACTGATAGCGTCAATTCGAATGTGATTTCCAGGAAAAGGCTGGGCAATCATTGGAGTCTGAGATATATCACCCGAGGCAAAAGAGATGGATCATATTCGAGTGCGCAAGAGGCGGTCCGCTAACGGCGCTGAGGGTTGAAATATGACTCGTCTTCTGCAGTGCTCGAAGGTGTCGGTGACACTTGACACCAGCATGGAAATGAACTTTCCGCCAGGTACATATGTCATCGGCCGAGCCTCAATAGTCGCATATAGCGGGGTGATTTGTCGATTTGACAAAGAACTGAAGGATTGGCCCAAGCGCCGGGGGTGATTTCAGGGGGGCGGCGCTGCAGGCCTGGACCYYRACCACTATCAGTCATTGATCCCCGCTAGACGTTAAAAAAGTACCTAATTCCTCCTCGCCAGCGGAATATTCCGCTCGATGCATATCTCGCCAAGTGTAGGGCGCCGGAACATTGGACGAATTGGTAGGGCGTGTTCGACGGTCAGGTCAAAGGCTTAACGGCCGTATCTCAAGTTGGCTTCTCAACATGCGATCGTCTAGAACCATGCTCAACCTTGATATGAGAGTAATCTGAGGTGTCGGTGGTCCCTCATCCAACGCCGACAACCCAGACAGCAAGGGATGGTCTATTCCCAGTTGTTCAGCGGTGTCCGGCATGCACACCAAAAGCCGTAAGATCTTCGCCCTGCCACGGAGTGCTCTCAATGATCTTGCTCTAGATTCTCACTCGGAGGTGCTCACTCAGTAGTGTCAATGGGAATGGGGTAGTTTGGAAGGTCAGAAGACTCTTGTCAACTCTTTCCTCCCGACATCAACTACCAACTCCTGATTCACCCATCAAACCTAAAGACTCTGGGTCTGGACGGGCGATTAGCCATGCCGGTTGGAGGAAGGTATACGTTGTCTCCGTTACCCCACGCTTATAACCCCCAACCCCAGACTAACATTGTGCCGGTACACAGATCCCGATGGCAGTGTTACCTCGACGCAACGGGACGGCCTGCAGAACAACGGTACAACAGTGGCTTCAGCACAGCAGACATCTCTTGAATGCTACCCCAGATCGTACCTGATCATGCGCCTTGACAATCGTGATGGATTCTCCAGGGGAAAATTGGCCGATCTCCTCGTTTCTCGCCGTACCAGAAATCGTCGACTCGTGCGCCTGGCGATGATTATGCCCAAGTCCGACGGAATCGATTTATATTGGCAAGTACGGACACCAGGGTTCTAGAGAACGCGTGGAAAACGACTTGAGGTCTCACGGATCGTGTCCTTCTCGTTTGCTGTCATACTTCGGAACATTTTCAGCGTCCGGGAGGGAAAAATGGACAGGGTCAGGACGAATGCCAGAAGCAGCGAAGAGTGGCAGCTGGCTAGCATAGTACAAGACTCTGTGTCTATTAGGCAACCGCTGAGACAACCCCTTTGTTCAATCTGATTGTTGGGAGACAACATCTGGTTCTGCCTCATTGTTTTCAAGTGACACGATCCTGGATCCACATACCGATAACCCTAAAAAGGAGCATCGACCAAAGCGCATCCTACATCGGCCTATTTCACTGGAGGAGCGTCAGCACCCGGACCTGATTGCTCTGCAACCCTTCAAGAAGATGGGATCGGCCGCAAGGGATGCCGAATTAGGGCTACCGGAACTGTGCCAGGTGCAACCCCATGCAGCCCATTCACAATCACCATGCGGAGTGTGTGCTTGGACGACGTGCCCAATGATGCTTGGTCACCTGTGCCAGATGCAGGCTGGGGGCATCCTTGTTGGAGCGCTCCCTTTGGTTCCTGACCAGCGCCCGAATACGCCGAGTCTCGAGCCAGCATTTATAGGTGATAACCCACCCCGTTCGCGCGAGCGTTCTCCAGGCAAAGGAGCAGGGCATGCAAGTCAACATGAGCAGTGCTGACATCAAGGATTTGCTCGTCGTGGACAACCGCTTGACGGCGTCATCTCAACCCTCCACTCAGCAACAACCCGAGTCGGTTCTGCAATCGGCCAGAAAGTCCCTCAAAAGCGTGGCATGGTGCTTTGCGTTGGCGTCAGGAATTATCCTCTATGGATATGACCTTGTCATCGTCGGAAATGCCCCCTCGATGCCTGAATTCCAGTAAGTCCACTCCAAGACCCCCAGTCCATCCACTTACACCGTCTAGAAAAGACTTCGGGCGCCGCCTAGACGGCAAACTCATCATCCCAGCCCTCTGGCTCTCCCTGTGGAACGTCGCGAACCCGATCGGTGGCATACTGGGCTCCCTTGCAGGAGGGTACATCCAGGACCGCGCAGGGCGGCGGCGATCACTCACCATCGCGAGCATCGTGTCAGCCATCGGGGCCGCCGTGGCCTACGTCGCCAATCTGCCAAGCGACATCAACACCCGTCGATCTGTGTTCCTCATCGCAATCATCGTCCAGGGTTTCGCAGTCAACCAGGCAACGTGTACCGTCCAGACCTACATCTCCGAAGTCCTTGGCCCTGTCCTCCGCGGTCCAGCCCTAGGCCTCTTCCCCAGCTTCATGCTGCTGGGCCAGCTGGTAGGCAGTATCATCGTGTACTTCATGTCCCGCAGGCCAGGACCAACCGGGTACAAGCTCTGCTTTGCATCGCAGTGGCCGTTTTCCGCCCTCCCGCTCGCAGTCTCGTTCCTCATGCCCGAGAGCCCAACGTACCTACTCCGGAAGAACCGCCCTGACGACGCCCGCAAACACCAGAATCGACTCTCCTCGTCCGTCAACGACACAGCCGCAATCCTACAACACGCCCGACTCTCCATCGAGCTCGAAAACAAACCCAACAGAGGCAGAGCCTCGGCCCCAACATACGCCGACTGCTTCAAGGCCCCGCACCGCCGCCGAACAACGATCGTCCTATTCGGCGGCCTCGTCTCCATCCTCTTCGGCTTATCCCTCCTTTCAAAAGGCAGCTATTTCATGCAGGTCGTCGGCATGGACGCCCACACCAGCCTGGTCTTCCTGCAGGTCAGTGTTGGTCTCGGCCTGCTCGCTAACGCCGGGAGCACGCTCACGGTCGCGAGATTCGGACGCCGCACTCTCACCCTCTCCGGCCTTATCATCTGCATCATCCTCTGGACGGGCGTGGGAATCGCGGGCTGCTTCGAGGGCCCTGTTACAGTCTGGTGAGCTACCCATAGTAACCGTACCCAAGACAGCCCCTTCCCCCTAAGCTTTTCTGATGTCGACAGGTACACCCAAACAAGCATCCTCCTCCTCATCTCCCTAACGGGACTCACCGTCTGGCCCGCCTCATACGCCTTCGGCGCAGAAGCATCCTCGCTGCACCTGCGCGCCAAGTCGCAGGGTCTCAGCTGGGTAGTGCACTGTCTCTCGAACGGGGCTCTGGGGATTGTGCTGCCGTATATCTTCAACGAGGACGAGGGTGCACTCGGCGCGAAGACGGGGTTCGTCTACACGGGGTTTTGTGCTGGTGCGCTTGTGGTGGCGTGGAGGATTGTGCCTGAGATGAAGGATTTGACGGCGTTGGAGATTGATTGTTTGTTTGAGGGGGGAGTTGAGGGGAGTGTTAGTGGTGGTGGTTGGAAGGAAGAGGCGGGCGGGGTTGGCGATGGGCTGGAGAGGGGAGGAGAGGGAACCCTGAAGGGATACGGTACGCGTGAAAGCGTAGAATGAGCCCTGCCGGCCTTCTTGAGCAGTTGTGCTGTATAAATCCGGGATTGTGGCTGAGGATGAGTAAAGGTTACTTTGGCATTTTCGTTTCTAACGGCCCGGGAGACTACGAAGACAATCAGATAGACATGCAGTAGAATGTTCATTGATGCAAATAGAGCTTTTGTCTACACACCCGTAGGTAGCAGTCAACGCTGCCGCGTTTTCATCTTTCGTCTAGGTAGGATAGCAAAGAGTAGATGGTAGCTAATAGGTTTTTCGATGATCCAGGATAAACGGAACCGGGTCGAGTCCCCTGGGCATACGTGGCAGATGCTCTTAAGTTGTTGGGTAAGAAAACGGTGTATCGATCTTTCTTCCAGCCTTTCGCAGAGCAAGCCGGGAAGTCAAGCGGAGAAGCTGAAGGTAAGTCGGGCGAGAACAGTGTGTAGTACATATCGTCACCGTCACACAAAATCGTAGGTACAAGTAGTGTGACAGCGACTCAGAACAGACGCAAAAGCAGAGTCAACGGATACATCCCATCACGCCACTACTTCCACTGTCGCAGCGTCTTTCTCCCCGAGCGCCTTCTTCGCCTCCTTCCCCTTCCTAAACACGCGCTCATCATTCGGATCAAACCCGCCATTCCCCCAAAGCGCCCACTCTTCCGTCTCGCGCATATAATCCTCAGGCCGGAATGGCGTGCCCTCTGCCTTCTCCTTCTCCAGCAGCTTAAAGAAGCGCGGGTAATCGATACGCGAGTGCCACTTGCCGTTCACGCGGAACCGCTCCGACGCAATGAGCACGCAGCAGCTGTGCGCGTGCTCGGCGGCGATGCCGTAGTCCAGCCCGCGGCGGAGGAGCTCCTCGTTGAGCTGCACGACAAAGGCGGCAATCTCCTCGTAGAAGGGGACGTTTTGCATGGTGAGGCCGGCGCCCGCGCTTGTGCTCGTGCCGCAGTACGTGACGCCCTTGATCTCGATGAAGCAGGGGAGCGCCTTTTCGACGAGGTTCGCGTACCCGACGACCTCGTCGTCGATGTTGAAGCCCTTTACGAGCGTGAGGCGGAAGACGGTGCGCTGGATGTGGCGCTTTTCGCGGAGGATGTCGAGGCAGCGCTGGAAGCGCTCCCAGAAGTCGCGGTGCAGGGGGCGGTCGATTTTGCGCAGGCTGTCGCGGTTGCTGGCGTCGATGGAGACGTACAGCTGTGTTACGCGGTGGAGGTTTTGGAGTTGGTCCGGGTGTTGGGCGTTGCAGACGAGGAAGCTGGAGATGTGTTCGGAGTGGAGGAGGTCGAGAAAGCGGTTGATGTGCGGGTAGAAGATTGGTTCGCCGACGAGACTGAGGGCGCAGTGGCGAATGCGCATTGCTTCGGCGAAGCGCTCGGCGCGGACGCCGGGGACGCCGCGCATCATCTTGATCTTTTTGTAGTGACCTTCTTTGACGCCGTTGAAGATTAGGTCGGGCGAGTCGACTTTCCAGCGCCAGGTGGTGCCAACGGGATTCGTGCCATGTCGCCAGCAGAAGACACATTTGTTACTGCAGGATAGAGACGGAGTCGCTTCCATGCACAGGTGCGATCGGATTCCGTAGAACGAAAACTTGTAGCATGATCCTCGTCCGCGAAGGGCAGATTTGGTCCAGCGACAGATCTTGACGCCAGAGTGGGAACCGACAATCGTGTATCCTTGCTTCGTGAGAGAGGCATATGTGGGAGATGTCTTGGGTACCATTTCCTTTTCAGTCGGCTGATAGTCGCGAGAAGATAGTCCAGAGGTGGTGAAGTCAACCGGGATAGGTGAGCCCGCAACTTGGCCGTCGGCGCCCATCTTGATGTCCTCCAAGTCTACCACAGCCTGCGGCTTTCTACGAGCCTTTGACTTTGAGTCAGACTCTTCGTCGTCAGATAGCTCTTCGTCGCTCTCAAGCGGGTCACCGCTGCCAGGAACACCCTCGCCCAAGCCACCGTTCTTCACGATGTCGCCGAGGATATCCTGGAGTCCGCCAGACCATTCTCTCAGAGAAGCCTCAGCGTCGCTCTTCACGTCACCAAAGCCAAGAGGGTATGCTCGCTTCTTGTTGGTAAGCTTAGCCATCCACCTGTCAAGCTCTTTAGCCTGCGAGCAGAATCCTTCCTCTTCAGTCGGCCATCCTTCCTTGTCTCCAAATCCAAAAACAGCGTATCCAGCGAGAGTCGACAATGATCCCGTGTCAATGCGGAAGTCATGGTGAGTCTCGTCGAGGTGACCGAGGAAGGTGTCCAAGATAGTGTCGATGTTGTAGCTGGGAATAAGGAAGCAGTAGACATAGCGTGTGCCGGGCGAGGTCGAAGGGGGCTTAGGTGCCGTGGTAAAATAGTCCTCGTAGTCAACTTCAGCCAAATCGTAGATCTGAGGGGGCAGAAGTCCGCGCTCGCGGTTCTCCGGGTCGGCCTGGCTCTGCGCGGCCGCCCGCAAATCCTCCAGCAGTACTTTGGCGTATCTCTCGGTGCTTCCAGTCAACGACGCCCAGAAGATGATAGGCTGAATGTGTGTCACAGACTGCTCTTCCTCGCCGGATCTCGAGCCTGACCGTTTCCCAGCAGACTTCAGCGGCTTCCTACCAGTCACTCTCTTCGGCCCGTTGGCCGGTTTCGGCGAAACGCGGCCACTGTTCGGCACGCCAGAGTCCTGCTTCTCGGAGATGACAGGTTCAACGGACTTGGTACTTTTTTCTGGAGACGAACTGCGCGGTGAGGGTGGGACGGAGGATGCGGTAGCGGTCTTAGATCGAGCTTGGAGCACGCGACGGAGACGGACGATAACGAGGACGCTGACGAGCGCAACGAGGAGTGGTAGGCGGAACGAATGCCAGAGGGTCAGAAGACCTAATAAAAGAATCAGTCAGTCTATAGCCTGGGCACCGGAGTCAAAGGACGAACCCACCTTCGGCAGCGGTAGATTCGGCCATATTGAACGGGGAAGAGTTGGATGTCGCCCCTCTTGAAGCGGGGTGAACTTGTCGCAAATCGGGGAGATCCCTAAGTAGGAGGCGGATCTAGACTAGATCGAGCATTGCAGGCAGTGTATCTGAAGCCCACAGAGACAAGGAATAGCACGAGGGCGAATACTGTTGAACCAGCGTGGAAGTTGGATGAATTTGGATGAATAATTCGGGGAATTTTTGTGGTTCAACAATGAAAGGATCGACACCTGAGTCTCCAGGTGTCCATCGCTCTTCTCTAGAAGAAATATAGAATCATCATGGAGATGTCAATGCCATTGTTGAACAAACAATCAAAGTAGCTCTATACTACCCCTGACAGTAAAAAGCAATTACAGTCGGTATCAAAATTGACAGTATTGCCTGCCGCCATCAACCGCCGTATCCTCAAGCGAATAGAATATGGCCAACAAGGAAAAATTGATTATTCTGTACGACTCTAGATCTTGCTTCTAGTGATGCAGAACAGGGGTGTAATCGATGTAAGCATACTGTCTCTCCCTTCCATCGTCTCTACTCATCGTCTCTATTCATCGCCTATCAAGCACCGCTATCACTCCCATCCAACAACGCCCTCTCCCTCATCATCCGAAAAGCCCCCAATATCACCCTCCCCATCCCCGCAAACGACTTATACTTCCCCGTCAAATCCTCCTCGCCCTCCCGAACCTCCTCCTCAGTAACCCACTTGAAATCCCTGTGCTCCGCGGGGTCCAGGCTAACCATCTCCTCCCATCGCCTTTCCAGCGCAGGAGCAACACCCCCATTAGCCAACGTATCAGCCGGGACTCCATTCCCATCCCCTTCTCCATCCCTGGTAGAAACAGCAGGCTTCGCCTCATGCACCTCCACAATAAACGTGAACTTAACAACGAGGTCCGCCCGGTCCGGCCGCTGCCTCACCCACTCCTCCTTCCCCGCGAGCTCGACGAACCGCGACACATGCAGGCCGCTTTCTTCGAGAACCTCGCGCGCAACGCCATCTAGGATGTTCGCATCGTCCGGGTCGATAGAGCCGCCCGGGCCTTCCCATTGGCCGCCGTAGGAGTCTTCGTAGGAGCGTTGGAGGAGGAGGATGCGGAGGAGTGTTTTCGCGTCCTCTCTTTCTTCCTGGTTTTCTGGTGTGCAAGGGACAGTGCGTGAGAAGATGAGAGCGCCGCCTACGAAGTGTGCGTATTGGTCGTTGATGGCGCGGAATTGGGGCAATGGGACGGCGAAGGGTGCGAGGTGCGGGGCAAGTGTGTAGTTGGGTTGGGAGGGCATTTTGAGATACTTTGCAGCCCAGATTGAAGGTGAGCGTTTGGGGGGTTTTTTCTTCAAGGGGCGCTCTTTATGGCATTTGTTGATTCTGCCTGCGTTGGTGGGAGTGACTCACGGATGTCAGCCATACGAGGTTTTGCGTTCCACGGCATCTATTCAACACGGCTGCCCCATAGTCTGACTCTCTATATGCGAGGCATATCTGCCGATGGAGTGAAAAGGGCAGGTTGATCTAGTAACTTATGGCTTGTGGCTTGATTCGAATTAGGTACACAATACATGCCTAGCCTCAGTCCTACCTAGGTTTATGGATGATTAATGCTGTCAGATATATATTATGTACCTTGGACTCGTTATATACACCCAATACCCTCACACTTCTCGCTAAGCAGGAATGATAAGCCTTGACCTTCGATTGCTAGTTCGAGGCTATCCTACCCTCGTGGAATAAGGAACCCCGCGAAGAACTGTCCAACTCGTTTGTAGTCATCAACCGCAATGACCGAAGAAACATCTAGTCATCAATGAGCAAAAGCATTGCAAAAGACGAACGTTAGAGCACTCACATTGATCAGGCCGGACTATCACAATAGCCCCAACCTCCGGATTAATTTCAAGATGTTCATAAAGATGGCCGTGTACCTTGTTGTAGCTCTCGTCGTCGAAGAAGATTTTATGAAGGTCTAAGGTAGTTAGCGTTTCTGATAGTCGAACAATGATTTCAGCAACTAACCTTTGATCTGGTTTTCGCCGGTAACGGGGTAAAAAGCCGGGGGTATCTGGTCGAGCTCGATATCGTGACGCGGTCCGTAGCCCACAAGAATCGGCTCGATGAGGCTATCGCAATCGCCGTCTTGCAGTCGGAATGTCCGTAACGGGCTCTCGTCCGAGGCAAGATATGCACCGACCTGGCCTTGGTCAGTAAACACTCAATTTATGGGGAAGTATGCTAGCTTACCGCATCCAGCCGAGCCCTATTCCGAGAAATGCTGATATCCCCAGGAAAAACCATGACCCTCCATCTGCCATCACTATTAAGCGCACTGGCAAGCTGAACAGGCTTCGAGTCGCAATACCGAACGACCTGCGAGCTCGGAAGCCTCATCCCAACAACGACATTCGTCGCTAGGGAATCCGATAATCCCAGATCATTCGTAATGGCAGACTCATCATACTTCGCCGTCAACCCAGCGGTATACTTTCCCGCCTTCACGAATCCCTCCTGGAACTCAGCGGGCGACGCATTTCCCTTCGTCGAAAAGAGCTTCGAGAAGTACCGATCAAAGTTAATCAAGTCGATGGCGACCTTCTCACGCTCGAGAACATATGTCTCCAACAGTGACGCCGGCGCCAGGCCTCTCAGTACATGCGCCAGTTTCCAGCCAATGTTGTATCCATCTTGCAAACTGACATTCATGCCCTGCCCAGCCTTAGGCGAGTGCGTGTGGCACGCATCCCCTCCAAGGAAGATGCGGAAATCCTTGTGGAAGAAGTCCGCGTGTCGCTGGCCGATAGCGTACGCAGACCACCAAACCGTCTCCGTGAACTCGATCTCATACTGGCCGAGGATGTTCTTGGCAGCCTGCTGCAAGTCTCCCAGCTTGACGTCCTTCGGCTTCGTACCAGGCGGCAGCTCAATATAGAACCGCGTCAGGTTCCGGTTCTCGCCTTCGCGCGGGATAATGAGCAGACTGCCTGCTTTGGAGCGGATGGAGGCTTTCTTGCGGATGTCGGGGAAGTCAGTGCGTGGGATCATGTCCATTACGCCCCAGACTGCGTCCGAGCTGTCTCCGATCATGGCGTACCCGAGTGCTTTTCGGACGGTGCTATGTGCTCCGTCGCAGCCCTGATCCATATTAGTTGGTGAAGCAACACTGTCGATGTCAAGGTTAAAAACATACCAGAACGTACCGCGCCTCGAAGACCTGAACCTCCCCATCCTTCTCCGCAGTAACCTTCACCGGATACTCCTCCTCCGCATCTCCCAATTCCACACCCTCCACATCCCACCCATACTCAATCTGCTGACCATTGAACTTCCGCATAGCCTCAATAAACAGCCCGTTGATCCGCGCCTGGTTCAGAATAACATGCGGACAGTGCGACAGCCCGGGCTGCACATCCGCCGCTCTCCCCGTCCGCGAAATACTACCACGTTCTGCACCCGATCCGCTGGGAGGACTCTCGTCGGCCCAAAACACCACCTCGAGCACATGGTACGCTTCGCGCAGCAACTCCTCGCTCATCCCGAAGCTCTCGAAGATCTCGACCGTCCGGCATTGCACGCCATCTGCCTGGCCCATTGTCATGGGACCAGAGCGCCGCTCGAGGATCTTGCAGGGTATTCCGTAGCGCGCGAGCCATGTTGCGGCGCTGAGGCCTGCGGAGCCGCTGCCGCAGATTAGGACGTCTGTTTGGTGAGGAGACGGCATTTTGTGTGTTTCTATGTTTCAAGGTAAGTAGAGAATGAATGAGGGGAACTCATATAGTCACGAGCAAGGAATGTATGTAAGCTGTGTTGCATCGGGCGTCTTTATGGCTGCTCGGAGCGACTCCGGGATGCGTTCCGAAGACCCGGAATCAATCCCGGAGGCGATCCATACTAACGATCCCATGGATGCTTGGGCCTCGGTTGCTATGATTGCAGATGGACCATTAGGCTGGCCTGCATAATATGGGGTATGTATTCGACGTCAAAGTTGTGGCTGAATGTTTAAGCCACGGAACTTGCCTCGGCATGTCGTGGTTGATCTGGCTGTGCTTATAGCCTTACGGCAGCTTCATAAAATCAGGTGTCATTAAGCGTGTTCTAGATCGTTATATATGATGCCCATCAACCGCCTAGCGAAGAAGGCAAATCCATCAGGTATCTCTCCCGAACGCCAGCGCCGGTGCAAATAACGCCTTCATCACCACGAAGCGTGGGTGCAGGGCTGGGCCTGAGCCCGAGGGTATTTTACAAAAAGTACTCGCTGCGCCCTCCTCGAGTTTGCGGAACATGTCGTTGGTCGTCAGCAACAGCACTGAAGAGTTTGAATGTCGGTTTCAGGTCGTCGTTGATCTCGCACACGGACGCCAAGTTTCCACAGCGGTAGCAGTAGTTGGGTGCACTCCAAACGGTAACCACGTTGTTGTTCGCGAAGTGGTACTTGTACCCCTCGTTTACAAGCTGATGGGCTCGCGCAATGAGTGTTAGGTCGTTCACGTGGCAGAACTCGTCTGCTACCTTGTCACCGAATAGCCAGCCTGGATGGGTTTAGTATTTGGGACAAACTGGCAGTTACTGCTAACTTACCGGCTCCTCGAGGACTGACAGCCCAGGTCTCAACGTCATCTGGATCCGACCACACCAGGTCACAGAACGCACCCTCGTGTGGAATCTCTTGGGCTCTGGCCACCACCCGTACTTGGTCCAGAGTCCTGATTTCCGGGCTCAATCCTCCATGAACACACAGTACCCGACCATCGATAATAGCACCAAGGGTCATAAAGTCAAACACTTGGCAACAAGCCTTCCATACAGAGGCATTCCCGTACTTCTGCAAGCACTCTTCGTAGAAACCATAGACCTGTGTAATTTGTCGGGACTCGTGATTGCCGCGAACCAGCGTTACTCGGTCGGGGTACCTTCAAAGGTCAGTCATCGCCCATTTTATCGAGCACGGGTGACAAACTTGGCTTTTAGACACAGCAATAAAGTCAGGGTCTCCAAACTGAAATATCCGCGGTCCACATAATCGCCGAGGAACACAAAGTTGCGGTTGACAGCTATTTCCGTCGCCCCTGAACTTGAAGACCGTCCTCTTTTCCCAGCGTTCTCACCATCGTCTGCAGACGCTGGCTTTCCCAGCTTCTTCCGCAACTCGGGGTCTGTTATGGTAGTCGGCGGCTCGATGTCGTCCGATGTAATCACGGTAGAGGAAGTCTTCGGGGGTTCGGCGAGGGACGCGTCGGGCATCCCTCCGGAGACGCGAAATAACTCTAAGAGGTCGTAGAATTGGCCGTGGATATCTCCGCAGACTGTGACGGGGGTCGATACCGGCTGAATATTGGATTCTGAGTAGCGCACAACTGTCAGCTTTGGAAACACCCCGGCTAGGATTGAGACAGGATTGAGCGCAGCATACCTTCCATCATGAACTCTTTCACGATCTCACAGAGCTGCTTCATATGTGACTCTGAGAGGTATTTGCAGTCCTTGGCCGCTTCTAACCACTCGTCCGGTCCTGCATTGCGCTTCAGTTTCGCTGGCCCCGGCTGAGGGACCTTTGGGTCAGTCATTGCAGAAAATGATTAAATACAAAGAATGTGAGAAAAGACTGAAGTAATGCAGTGGTTTAAAGACAAGTAATGAGCTCAGATTCTTGGTGACCACAGATGCACACATAAACATGCTCGCTCCTTTCCCCGCAAGGGTGCTGGTTATCGCTGATTTGCAGTCACGTGCAGGATCATTTATTGCCTTCCGGTCAGCGGGGAATTCCATAGAGCTCATCTCCCATCCAAGGTCATCTGGAGACCTCAGCTTCACTACTTTGTGACCCGGTACCATTATTTTACTTTTTGGTTTGGGAACCAGCTCGCCTGGTGATACCCCTGTAGCCGGCCTTTGTTCGGCTGCTCGCCTTCGGCAACGCGCCTATCGGAGATTAGGTCGCAGTGACACTTCAATTTGAAGCATATTTATCATGACGCAAATCCTGTCGAAGTCGAGCGGCGGCGTCCTTCAGATTCCTGCATCTGCGACTCAGAAAAATGCACCCGCACCCAAGAAGGCGCCCAAGCCGGCAGCCCCGCGATTGAAGCTGCTCGTGCGGCGCCTGCCCCCAGGGTTAACACAGGAGGAGTTTGAGGCAGCGCTGGGCGAGGCATGGAAAGTCGGGGCGGGTAAAGTGAGCTGGTCTCAGTACAAGCCTGGAAAGATCTCAAAAGAGTGAGTGCTTCGTGTTTGCTGCTATAGAGGAGCTGCGGCTAACAGGGATGAACAACAGTCCCGCCAAACCCTCCCGGCCTTCTCGCGCATACCTCTACGTTGTTTCAAGCGAACACATTACCCCCCTCTCTGACAAAGTCCGGAGTACGTCCTTCCTGGATGCCCGCAACACCGCGAACGACCCTGTGCTCCTCGGCCCTCCGAACCTAGAATTCGCACCGTACGCCAAAATCCCCGGCAGCCGTGTTCGCAAAGATGCTCGACAGGGAACCATTGATCAAGAACCAGAGTTCATCCAATTTCTCGAGAGTCTTACGCAACCTATCACGAAACCTGCCGCCGAATCTACCGCCGAGGATGAAAATAAGAAGGAAGCTATAACAACTACGCCGCTGGTGCAGTACATCAAGGAGAAGAAGGCAAACAAGGCGAAGGAGGCGTCGAACAAATCGTCAAGGCAAAGGTCAGAAAGAGAGCCAAAGGCCGAGAAGATCCAATCGAAGAAGCTTCTCCAGCGGCCTGAGAAGGAAGTCTCGCCTGTTAGCGCTGAGAAGACGGAGAAGAGATCAAGAAACGACCGGAACGACAGGAATGACAAGGCTACGAAGGAGGCTGTGAAAGTGGCCAACAAGCAGGCTGCCAGTGTGTCATCGAAACAAGCCGCGAAGGCGTCTTCAGCACAGAACGCTCCCAAGGATACGACGACCGCACAGCCGGCGACTGAACGGAGGAGAGAGCGCGGGAATGCAGCTGCGGTGGGGAAGATACTGCAGCGGGACTTGGGACTGGCACCATCTAGCAACCGGCGACGTGGGGGACGTGGAACTTCTGGGGCTTCTGGAGAGAGCGAGCCTAGGCCAGAACCGGCCGCTGCTACGGAGGTCAAGAAGGAGACGCCCACCAGGTCACCAAAAGCAAGTCCAGCAGCCCAGGACGCAAAGGCGAAGCGGAGCAATACGCCTCAACCCAGCGAAACACCAACCTCTCAACGTTCCGAAACTAGCACGCCTGCCCAGCCTACATCTACGCCGCGGGGACCCAGAGGGCGAGGTAAACAGTCATCGGCCACCACGCCAACAACACCCACATCCACCGCTACCCAAGCATTCCTCAAGCACGCCAATCCGTCTCAGGGTGTGACTGAGCCGCTGCTTGAGACCGCCTTTTCGCCGTTCGGCAAAGTCGTCAAAGTGGAAATCGATAAGAAGAAGGGCTTTGGTTACGTTGACTTTGCGGAGCCTGAATCACTGCAGAAAGCTATCTCTGCCAGTCCCGTCACTGTCGCTCAAAGTCAGGTCGTTGTTCTCGAGAGGAAGGCGAACCCAGGGGCGGAGAAAGGGCGTGGAAAGGGTCGCGGCGAGCCTAAACCACCTAATCCGGCTGCGCCCGCGGAGGCCAATACCAACTCCAACCGTGGTGGCAAATCTAATGAAGGCAGTGGAGGCTCAGGCTCAGGAGGAGGAGGCGGCGGCGGCGGCGGCGGCGGCTCTTCAGATGGTCGTCGTGGACGGCGAAGTGGCCGGGGAAAGGGTGGTTCTAAGGCTAATGGAGGAAGCGGTGGTGGTGGTGGTGGCAGCAGCAATGCAAACGCAAACGCATCTGAAGGCAAGAATGCCGAAACGAAATGATGTATCTTACCTTATGATATGATAATGGATCAATGAGAATCTACGGTGCAAAATACAGCCTCTGCTTGTATTCCACGTGCCGCGCCGCCCTTGGCGTCTCGTGTTACCTGTTGGTCGCGATTCACGCGGAAGCCTGTATAGCAGCTGCCTGGCCCCTATCGACGCTTCAAACCTCCCACCTCTTATCTTCTGATGCTACACCTTTTCTTACGGCAGACATCTACGTTTGGTGCCAGGACTTTCCACCTGACTACAACTTACCTCCGAAAGAAGCCCTCCTTCGCACCCCGTCCTCACCTACGATTCCAACCTCATCGAATAGCCACCATCCGCACCGCATCCGCAAGCCTATCCAGTTCAACCATGCCCCCCAAATCCACAAAGCCAAAGCCAGCGCCACCCACCGCAAAGCCCGAACCAACAAACCCAGCCCCGAAACCCCTCCCCACCGACCTCCCAATCCACACCTTCCCCACCGCCGCCTCCTTCTCCTCCTTCCTCTCCGAAAACCACAAAACCCTGCCAGGCCTCCACCTCAAGCTCGCCAAGAAATCCAGCGGCATCGCATCCATCAGCGCGCCCGAAGCCGTCGAGGTAGCGCTATGCCACGGCTGGATCGACGGGCGCGCGAACGCGCTGGACGAGAAATACTGGCTTGTGCGGTACACGCCGCGGCGGAGCAAGAGCATGTGGTCTGCGAAGAATGTCGCTACTGTGGGCCGGCTGATTGAGGAGGGACGCATGACGGATGCGGGGATGGAGGCTGTGGAGGCGGCGAAGAGAGACGGGCGGTGGGAACGGGCGTATGATGGGCCGGCGGGGATTTCTGTTCCGGGGGACTTGAGGGAGGCGTTGGAGGGGGATGAGAGGGCGAAGAGGGCGTTTGAGGCGCTGGGTCGTGGGGATTGGTATCGGGTGCTGCATCGGTTGCAGACGGGGGCGGCGGCGAGGAGGAAGGAGAGGATTGAGGGGGTTGTGAGGATGTTGGCGGGCGGTGAGGTGGAGGGACGAAGAGCGACGGCGAAGGTGACGGCGAAGGCGAAGGCGAAGGTGTCGTCGTCAGGGAGTTCGCAGTCGTTTAGGATCGAGAAGAAGACTTTGCTCAGGGAGGGGAGGAAGGATGGGAAACGCGGCGTGGCGAAAGTCAAGAAGCGGGTTGAGCGCGTCGATGGTGAGGCTTCATTGTCTGGTGCAGTTTCTAGGCAACTGCGGCCGAGAAACCGCGTCAAGTAGCGAAGGCGTTAGGTGATAACTTCCAGAATCGAAATCTGAAGCTGGAGTTGGACCTTTGAGAGCTCAGGTCGTGATGAGCCTAGGAAAGCTGTTCCGCGGATTGGGTGAAGGAACACTGAGGTCGGGCGAAAAAGAAATTGAGCTGCCGCCACAAGTCAAGCTACAGAAATTTACACAAGGAAGATGTTCACGATCAAAATGATTCGATTTGATTTTCTAGCTAAGCCCAACAATCCAATCTCAATCGCACACCAGCATCAAGGTGGAAGAGAAAAAGATGGAAAGCCTTTCAGACCTCCTCGACACCCACCAAGTCAGGCCGACCGAAGTCAAGACGCCACGACAAGGTCAAGATCATCACCACTCCCTAGACCCAGCGCCAACTCGGAACAAGCCTGCCGAAGCAGTTCGTACCGGAGAAGACAAGGTCGAGGCGGGAGTAAACACGGCTTCACTTTAGGGCATCGAGGACATAGAAGTCATCAGCAAGGGTTGGGGGTGTGGCTCATTAGATGAGCTCAATGAGGGACGTCTACTCTAAAGTGATTCTTTGAACTGCAGACGAGGCGGTTAGCAAAAGATGCTCGAGAAGAGAGGGGATTCCCAATGTAGGGGGGAGGGGAACTCACGTAGAGTCGCTTGATTTTCAAAAGGGACGAGGAAGAAGGGCCTTTTATAACATTTCCGAGAGGGCTATTTCGCGCTAGTGCTTAGCGAGACTCTCGCGAGGTCTGTGTGGGCTTGTCGCGGCTGGCCAATCGCTGCCGTCGAAAAGATTTTTGTCCGCTCCAGTCCTTCTAGAACGCCGAGAACATGGCGATTGAGGGTCTCTTTTTTGTGCTGGGCCAATTGTTGATGGGCTCTTTACTTTGCCTTCATGGATACCGTTGCTGTTAGCAAATATTATTACGTTCGCCGTTGTTTTCTCGGTCGAAACGTCTTTTGCAGAAGCTGTTCCGGTGCTTCGCGGGCAGACGCGGCATGAGAGCTTCATGTTGAAGCCGAAGAAAGCTTCGTCTGCGCTTAACGCCGGCATCAGCATCACGAAAGCCTAAGGTAGTAAGGATCCTGCTGTCTAGACGAGATGCCTGAGAGCCTGAGAAACAGGCATACGAGCGTAGTTTTGCTAGAAGATGCTGCGTCATTCCAAAATGGAACCCTCTCATATACTGGCTTTAAGCTTCGACGCTGCTGGAGAGCTCGGTCAGCGCTGAGCTGACGCCCGGGCCCGGTGTTATGGTAACTTCCTGCTCATTCAACAAGCTCGCCGATAAAAAAAACTATCTCTCAACATATTTGAATCGGCTATCACTCGTCGCCAAAGCTCCAGGCAGACTCATGGTTGAAGGTGACACGGAATAAGCAATGTCTTCTGCATTGCCCATGATCTATAAGCATGCAGCATAGTATGCACGTCTATCGACAATCTTCATTTCGGAAACAGATAACAAACAGCTACATAGTGAGTGTCATTGACGTAATATATAATGAAGCCACTGAAGTGCTATACCTGAGCTCTATACATACTAGCTTATGCTCTCCTTCGAAATGGGCAGCATTCTTAACGGAGTACAGGCAAGCTTACTTGTATCCCGGCCTCATTGTCAATCTTCAAAAGTATACCATCGTACATACATAATTATGCCCATCTCGCACGCCTATGCTAAGTAGTACTAAGTAGGCCTGGCCCAAGCTCGTCCTTATCAGTGCGGGGACAAAGCCGACTGGCTCCTCAAGCAACTCCGCATTTCGCTCCAGCTGCGAACTTCGTCTTATCAACACACCTCTGTCAGGTTGAACGACTTCAATCACTCGCGATATCGCATCTGATTCTACACTTTTCAGAGCAAGCTTGTCCGATCCACTATGACCTGATGAAGGCCAGGCCCCACCCTGCCCTCTCCAATGCCGCGACCCAAAGTCCTCCCAGCCAACCGTCTCCGGGCCCCAGAAGCCTGCCTCGCATGCCGAGCCTCCAAGAAGCGCTGCAGCGGCAGCTTCCCATGCACGAAATGCATTCGCAATGGGCGCGCTGACACCTGCGTGCCGTTCCGACGGTCGAACAGCGTTTCTGCTCCGCGGCAGAACGATGCCTACCGGGTCACTAGTCCTGACGCTGGACGTCGGGCACGGAACACTTCGAGTATCAACGCTGCAAGTCTTCCGCAGCTTCTGCCGGCTTTGAATGGCACATCGGGGGCTCCGCACAAGACTCACTCTCGAATGCTACGGAATCGGCAAGGTGAACGAGGTACGGCCACATGACCGCAAGACGAAGGTCCGCGTCGCTGATGGTTGGTTTAGTATACATCGGGAGAGCAGCCTCGCTATCATTCTTGCAGCTGCTTCGGGATATGGTCACACAACATATCGGGCCGTCTCAGTTCTCGCATAATGTCACCAAGGAAGATATGCTTGAGACGGATACTCCGGATGACATACCGGCGTCGTTCCAGAATGATGTTGACCCTCAGGAGGAGCAGGCCTACCTCCGCACTTACCAGATTGCGGTACGCTTCCCTTTTTCAGTTGGACTGCTATAATGCTAACAAAGGTGTCCATTAGACCAGCGGTTTTATCAATGTCCTCTCTGACTCGGAAGCCCGTCAAATGCTAGGATCAACGCCTCCAACCCACGAGATACCTAACAAGAGAATGGCGGCATTACGAGACATCATGATTGCCATCGGGGCACAGTCGTCGAAGAATGATCTCAGTCCGGCTATTATGCGAGTGGAAAGGTTCTTTTTCAAACGCGCACAGCTATGCGCATTCGCGGGGATGTTGGAGAATCCGAGCATGGACCTGATTCGGCTGTTTATCTTGCTTTCCTTTTACATGCTAGGCGCTTGCCGTCGAAACGCTGCATTCATGTACTTGGGGGTTGCTTCAAGGGCAGCTGCCGCTCTAGGTCTCCATCTCACTGCCTTCACTCTACCGGACGCAGATGAGCAGCAGAAGAGGTAGGCAGTTTTTCTCTGGAATGCCTCTATCACTGACGCCTCGTAGGTCCCGAGTCTGGATGAGCCTTTGCACATTGGACCTTCTAGTCAGCTCGATTCTCGGACGACCACCGGCAACAGCTAATCTGCACTCCGAGCCAGCAGATATGGACTCCACGCCGCCTACCAGCGCAGCCGATGATAGCCTCGTTGCTTCGTATAACATGACCCGAATCCTCGACGAGATTGTCTCTCGGCTATACAATGAGAAGGCGGCTTCAACAGAAGTTGCTGAATCGCTACTCGACAAGCTCAAGCAATGGAGCAACGATCTCCCCGACTCCCTACTTTCCTCACCCAGCACGCCTCAGGAGCGCGTTGCGGCCCAGGAACACATCATCGGCAGCCTCCATGTTGCTTGCGCTTACCATTTCGCGGTCATCATAGTGACAAGACCATTTATGATCTCAGTCTTGGGGGTCCGACTGGCACGACTACACCAGGGGTCTCCGGGGATAATTCAAGACGATGCCCTCTTGGAGGACCCGGCACATACGAGGCTCGCCAATGCCTGCGTCGAGTCCGCATTGTACATGATCCAGACGTGTCTAGAAGTACATCAGTCCCGTCTGCTGCTGGGCAACATGTGCATTCTCAAGTAGGCACCTCCACCTCAAAATACTAACCCAGAGCTAACCTCCATCCAGAGCCCTCGTGTTCGCCGCAGCCCTAATTCCCGGCTTTTCCATGTTCTCGCAGAAAGAACTCGACTCGACTCTCGAAGAAGCCTTCACCGGTGCCCTCGAGATCCTCCGCGTCCTCTCACAACAATCAGCTCAGGCAGCGCACTATTTCGAAATCCTAAATCTCCTCCGCAACGCAATCGACGAGCAACGCCAGCGCCTCCGCGAGAACCCTCCACCGGATAAGAAATACGTCAGCAAGCTTTTCAGTTTGAACAATCGTCGAAGTAGCGATTCTCAGCCGCAGACTTCCTCCACTCCCTCTTTCTCTGGAGGCTCCTCGGCCAACCTACCAGCAATCCAACCCTCTCTACCTGTCGGCCCTGGTGCCGGAACTACGTACGCAGAGCCGCAGAATCAAGCTCCAGGTGCAGATCAGAATACAGGTCTGTTCGACGCGGCGGACGTCGCTGCCGGGTTTCCCGGGTGGGAGGGCATGGAGTTGCCGCTATGGGACCGGTTCCCGTTCATCGATGATTCGTTTTTGAATTAGCAGTAGCCCATCATCTCCGTCCCCGGTTTTTATTCCATGTTCCACCCGCTTTCCAGCCATGTCTGTATCATGCACAGCTTCTGTTCCGTCTATGCTTATGCGATATGTGTCATGACTGACGTACATATTTGTATAAATGCTTATATATACCCGCCAGCCTTGCAAATCTCAAGCTACGGTAGCATTAATGTCGCATAAAGAATCAACCTATCCTCCATTACCAATGCTACACTGCTCTCCGGTATCGCCTGAAGGCTGGCCCTTTTACATCCCTGTATATAGACCAGGGCCACCCCACAACCCACTTCCCCATCTCGAGGTCAAGGCTACATCCTCCCTCAACACCACTGCCGCCGCCCTCCCCGCCAAAAGCGCCAGAACCCCCGAGCTCACCACAAAACCCCCAAACCGCACCATAATCCAATCCCCCGTACCATGCACAACGCTATGCAGAACCCTCAGCCCCACATACATCCACGCGAGTCCAGCATCAAGCACATCCTCTTGGCCACGCATATACCGCGCCAGCGCCAGCGCCAGCGCGACGGCATAGAACTGCGTCGGCTGCTCGAGGCGGTGGTTGTAGTTATCTGCTTTCCAGCGCACGGAGGCGGGTGTGAGTTTGTCGATGTTGCTCTTTGTCGTCGTGTTTGTGGGGGGTGGGTGCGTGGCCCTGGAGACGGGGATGCGCGTTGCGTACATCCAGGGTTCCATTGTGAATGGCCAGGCGTTTAGGGCGAGGGTGGGGCGGAGGAGGGATAGGCTTGGGCCTGGGACTGGGACTGGGACTGGGATTGGAGAGGTGGGTAGGGACATGTTAGGATGATGGGGACTGGGGAGGAAGCTTTGGGGTTGAAGGGGACGGCAGTTGATAACTTGACATGCGGGGGATCTATGTATGTGCCGGTGTCTAGGTAACACCGTTTTGGCGTCATGTGGTAGTGCGTCGCCATCTTTCTTGGCCTTTTGTCTTTTTTACAGATGAGAATATCTTTTGATCGCTTTTGGTGTATAGGTCCGTGGAGTGTTGGTTAGTGCCAGTTTTTGCTGAAGTATTGCGCGGGTAACAGGTGGATATATATATATAAACTCCACACCCGCTCATCGCAGCCTGCGCAGGCAAATCGTAAGTATCGTATCGCCGGGCAAGTAGTACTCTAGTGCAGCTCAAAGTTGGTAAGTGTGAGATTGACACTTTCCCGACCGTGGTATAACATAGGACACCACCCAAAAAACACCCTACAGCACCAATATCGAGCGAGAGTTGATCCTTCATGCTGATGCTCTTTTTGATATTGATGGTATTTTTGGTTATTGATAGTTTGCTGCTTTGAAATATCTAGCACATACGACCACAGGGTGTGGAGAACAGGGCTTCCCGTCCGCTCAGCCGTACTTAAGCCACACGCCGGCTGGTTAGTAGTATGGTGGGTGACCACATGCGAATCCCAGCTGTTGTATGTTTTTTTTTTTGTTTTGGAGGATAACCCGTCTAGCCCGTACCGCCCTGCCTTCACGCCCTGAAGCCCTCTAATATTCACCCGCCAAGCCTAAGTTACTGACGTTGCTCTTTTCTTGCAACCTCCGTCGGAAGTAGTCTCCCGGCTTCCGTGATGCCCAGGCCCACTGCCACCGCATTGAGTGGCTTTGCTTTCATTCTCGAATCATTATTGCCCCCTCGAGTCTTTCTACCAACCCAATGGTAGGTAATACTAATCGCGTCTTAATGGCGCTGGTTTCCTCAACAACACGAGCATTGCAGGATGACAGATGTGGATCATCAACTAAGACATACGCCTTTGACAAAATCGAACCCATACAGCGTATCGAACAAAAGGGACGAAATCTGGGAAACTTAGCCTAAAAGCCAGTTTGAAATGAGCGAAAGGAAGGATCTGAAGCAGGCTGGCCATTTCTTGCAATGTTTGCACAGCCTCGTTACCTCCACCAACACAGCAAAACAACAAGCAAGCGCAACAGCAGACACAAAACTAACAGCACGACCAATGCTTCGTATGGTTAATGTCCATGTCAGAACCATCCCTTCAGGGTTAGGCCAGCTATCAGGCGCTTCTGAGGTCCCAACACCCCCCAGCCCGTTGTCCACAACAAGCCGCTATCATCAGAAGAGACGGGTGTCGATAGCGCCAGCACGAGATTTAAGCCCGTCCAAGTGACCTTGAATTGCTGATAATCAAACAATAGTGCTAGAAATCTCGCTTCGTTCCACGACCACTGCGTCGCGGTAGGTAAGCCCGTCTCGAGATATCTTAAATCAGCTCCGCCTTGCGGAACTTTTAGTTATCCATGGGCCACTTGCGTTGAGACCGATGCCGGAATCTGTAATTACCTTAAGAAAGCGGCTGATGGACGGATTTGGATATAATATAATACCCCGAGGTTGAGGTATGCTATTTACATGATTTTGTAATAGATCCTGCTTACTGGTGGCATAACAGGCGCGCATCCGTGCCTTTGACCCCATGTCCGCCGATGAGATACCCCAAACAGCGTTTTCTTACTCCAGTACCCTGTCCGATGCCGTCCTCTTGGGACAATTTAAAAAGGATATGTTTTAATGCAGGACAATGCGATATATACGGTAAGGATGAGAATGCATGGTGTCTAGATGTGGTGCAGCCTAAATTTGAAGTCTTTGATTAAAGGGTGTTAGTTGTTGCAACTTATAAGCGCGTGAGCTCCCCTGTTTCCCTATTAAAATATCCCTTTTAACCTAAGCATTATCCCTATAGACAGTTACAACAGATCAACCCGAGCTTTCTTCCCAGATCTAAAAACGCTCTTAGCAAGATTAGCAAGAAGCTTGATTATGCCCTCTTTTTTACTTGCCCTGACTCCTTGGTGCGAGATCTCTACAACGAGATAAACCTTGGTGGACATGACTACCAGATAAACCAAACGACAGATGCTTTCACAAAGAGAATACTCTTGTTCTCGGGCATGGAGCCACGACTGGTATACATACCTAGCGTATAAAATTGGCAATGAAGTGGTGAGAATATTCCTTGCATCTCGAAGTTCTCTGGTGGTTTCTTGCTTACTGAGGCTAGTCTATTTTAGCACGCGATTAGTCCAGTCAATGCCATTGGTTACTGATACCCGGACAATTTATGGCATACTGAAAGTCCGTGATCTGGTTGGAAGGGTCGCAGAGTACGCTATTCAAGTGTACTGGCCTTGGATATGTGATGAAATCTTACGTCCGCTGGCGACCTAAGGACAGATATGCAAGGGAGACTCTTGAATGATAATCAACTATATGCCTTGCTTGGTTCCATGTAATGCTTAATGACGGGAATCAAAAATAGAGTTCTAGATGCAGAGACTTGAAGAGAGCTTCATTACTCATGACGTGCTGCTTGCTATCCAGCTAACCACCAGATTCCCGCAAAGGCAGGAAGCACAGCTACGAAGAGAGTCAGAGGAAAGAAGGAGGCAGGAGAGAGAGCGCAACCGACCGACAACTTCTGGAGAGTTCATCAAACATTGCCACGATCTCCTCTGCCGGAGCGCCGCTACAAGCTGAAGCCCCTTTCTTGCTTTACAACAGGCAAGATTTCCCCCTCATACTGGAAAAAACTGTTCTATACGAATACTTCCATGGACAGACTGTGAAGACATACAACAGGAAATCTACAAACCGGTTGGCCGTTACTGTTAACTAACAGGAGAGGATGCACGACAGTTATTCACACGGCTTGTTGCGGTAGAAGACCACAGCCAACAGTTCACACGTCTATAAAAGGCAAAAAATGTTCATAGCTGCCACCTGGAGTTGGAGAGGCGCCAATTGCATATCCCATGTACAAAAGATTTTCCTCTCAGAGTAGTCGCGATCAATATCGCTTCCCCCTTGAATCGTGCGGCGCCCCCGACATCCCTTGGCAATTGATCCCAAATTCAAGTAATATCCTATTTAGATCGGGCGATCTTCCACATATATGACAGGGCTTCCCGAACTTGCGTTTGGGATGATAACAACAGTGCCTTGGCCCGGGAGGTTGCGATTCCCGGGGACATTGTAAGTACGGACAGATGGCGTGTAGCCCAACTCGCCGAGAGACTGTTGCATGATTTGCAGTTGGTCTGGCAGTGCCACAGCCCCCCTAAACAGGGCGCAGATAATGGAAGTTCCTGCCTCAGGGAAATAGTTCAAGCCCTTGTAGTAAGCATGAAGGCTCTTGACTTGACCCATCATTGATCGAACATTATTGTCTCCAGCATGAGGGTCCGCTGAGGGTTGTGGTGGTAAGGGAGGAATATGCGCAAGAATCGCACCATGCTTTGATGCAATCACCACGACTGAACAAGACCCTAGATCCCTGGTGCCAATTGCGGGCTTTTGCTGGAACGACACAAATTGGACTCGCGTGATCGCGCCAAGAGTTGACACATCCCCGCAGTTTGCCACAGCCTATATCTAGGTATGTGGCCCCCAGCTTGAGGTTGTAACTCATTCCCGTTCCTTCTCTATCATGTCTACAGCTTCTTTCTCTGAAGAGCATCAGGCCGGCTTGCCCCCTGTTCCGCGCCAAACCTGTCCGGAAATAATTCGGGAAATGGAGACTGCCTGCGCCGATCACGACTTTCTGGGATTCAAATCAACTTTTGACGCCTGGACCACTCTCAATCTCGACATACGTGAGATCGATCCAGTGATGATTCAGGCAGTCAGACAGGATCAGAGGGATGTTGTTGTTGAGTTATTGCAGCACGGGCTACCGGCAAGCCAGGATTATGCTCTTGAAGCAATCAACCATAAATCAAAGGAGGTTCTCAGCATTCTTCTTCAACAGGGGTGGGATATTAACCAACCCACAAGCGAATTGAGGCCTCCCGCGCTTGGGTAATTTCTCGCCTGGTCGTTTCAAAACTCTACTACTTACTTACAGTACTATTTAGTTATGCTGTTCATGACGATGATATGACTCTTTGGCTTCTTGATCATGGAGCCGACCCAAACAAGCAGTGCTCTATTGATCTTACACCATTGTCCTATGCAGTAGAACGAGCCTCGCTCCCCACCATCAAATTACTTCTTGACCGTGGAGGGGATGTTAGCAAAGGGCAACTACTTCACCATGCTGTTGAGCGTCAATCGGATACAGTCGAGGTGCTGGCTGTCCTGCTCGAGAGGGGTGCTCCTTTAAACTCAAAGATGTACGAGAATCACTATTTCTCATGGAGATTATACTACTTCATGGGCCTGGGAACCGCTTTACACAAAGCAGCAGAATTGGGAAAAGTGGATGTTGTGCGCTATTTGGTTGGCCAAGGCGCGGATATTCATATCAAAGATGCCACAAATCGGAGTTCGATGGACTGGGCTGCAATGAACAACCATCAAGAGATTGTGAAGCTGCTTCAATCAATGGAGTGAAGACATTGTCTATGATAAGGTTACTGACGAAGACGAGGCATCGCTGGGGAGTCGGCCTGGTTGAGTCAAGTAGCGAGTTTTTAATAAGAATCTGTGATTGACGGTCTATACATTTGCTACAACAAAGAGCTTCTTTTAGCTGTGAAGAGTGGCAGGAAAGGAGTTAAATAAACAAGCATTATTCATACAAATCAACTCACTTTGGGACTGGGTTACCACTAGGACCAAAACATGTCACAGGCTAGATCTAAAAGAGTACCTGGCTCCTGCCTCATGCAAACACCCTAATTCCAGGGCTAGGTACCATGCAAGGCATACTATCCTTATATTACAGTTTGTAATTAAGGCTTTTTTTACTATTATTCGGGCTTTAATTAGTCCGTGGTTCCCACTAGTACTAGGTGTTTTAGTTATTTATAGTAATTACTTATATACCTTATTATTTTTAGCCTATATTAGCCCTTATATTATTAGGGTCCTAATTCCCTGCTATTTTTTTTTATAAACTTATTATACTAACTTTTTTATATATTTTATAGTTTATATACCATAAATTTTATTAGCGTAAATATTTATTTATATAATTATTATTTTAGGGGCGCCTAGTTTATATAAATAAATAATAATAGTTAAAAACCCTTTATATAAACTAGGCTTATAGGTTTACCTATTTATATAATTTTTAAGTATAAGTAATAATTTTTATATTATTTTTATTTATTTATTTTATTTATATTATTATATTTTACCTTAAATACCTATACTTTACTAGTTTTTATTACCCTAGCCTTTACTAACTTATTTTTTATTAATTTTTATTAAAATTAAATTATAGTTACTTTTCTTGCTTTTTACATGCCTTTAATAACATGCCTAAAAACCTTTATATATTATTAACCTAGTATTTATACCTATTTTTTACTACTTGGTTAATAACTTACTAAAAGTATATTTTTATTAATAAGTTTTTTATAAACTTTATAGCTTACTTTTGCCCTTTTTTTTACTTAATATAATTAATTTTATAGGTGTTTTTACCCTTTTATTTTTTAAAATTATTATATATTTTTTATAAACTTTTTTTACCTATATTTTACTTAGGTTAAGCTCTTACACTAGTAGTAGCTTTATTTTTAAGTATTTAATAATAAGTTTAATTATTTATTATTATACTACCTAGGATTTTATAAAGCTACTTAATATTATAATACCTAGGATATTTAGTATTAATAATAAAATTAATAATATTATTTTTTTTAGGCTAGGTAATACTATTAATATAGTTTTAAGTTATTTAGTTATTTACTTTTTTAATTAAAGTAGTAATATATATTCCATATTTTTAAAAATACTATTATTTTACTTAATTTAATAAGTTTTAGCTATAAATCCTTAACCTTATATAACTATATTATTTTATGTTAGGTTATTTTTTACCCGTGGTTATAATAGTTTATTATAATAATTATATTTATTAGGTATTATTATATTTATTCCTGCTAAGGTAAAGGTAAACATGCATATTAATAATATTATAGTTTAGTTTAAAAAAAATATATAATACTAGTGTATTTACTAGTTTAATTTACTTATATTTACTTTATGGTTTTTTTTTAATATTAATTTTTATTATATATAAATATATATATTTTATTTAGTTAATATATATACTAAACATGCTATATTTTTTTTATAATAAATTTTTAATTTTTTAATACTACTTTTTTTATTATTATTTAGCTTTTTTTTTAGGTATTTTACTTCCTATTTTACTTTTTCTTACCTTTTTTTTTCTTACTGGTTTTATACTTTTTTATTATTTTAAATAAACTAGTTAGTAAAGTTCTTTTATAATTAGTAAATATACAAGAGTTAAAGCTTTTTTTTTAATTTTTTTAGTCTTGTTTAGGTGCTAGTCTTAAACTAAATTAATAGTTTAGTTATATTTCTTATTATTTAGGTGTAAATAATAGGTTAAATTATAGTTAATATACAAAATATTCTATAATAAATTATAAAAAAGTTTATAAGGCATATTATTATAAATAGGGTAATAAAAGTGTTTTTTTATATTAATAGTATAATAAGTAAATATAGTTTTAAAAATTTAATAATATTACATGGCTTTTATATTAATATATCACGTGTTATTTCCTTATTTTTAGTACTTTTATATATTATATATTTATATATATATATTTTTTTTATTTTTTGATTTAGGCTATCCAGTCTAGGTATTACTTTTTTAATATTTTAGTTTTTATTTATTTTTTTTTAGTATAGCTTTATTTAATATTTGCTTTACTTTAGGCTTTAATATTTATAAATTCTAGCTGTTTACTATATTAATACTTTATTAAATATTTTATTTTTATTATATTCTTCTTGGTGTATTTTTATTACTAGTATTATAAGTTATTTTATTATTTTATTTTATACCTATAAGACCTACCTTATTTTAATCCCTAAATAATAAAAGTATTATAATAAGTATTTCTTAATTAGTTACTAATCCCTTATTTAAGTAGCTAATAATACTTTTATATACTATTTTATTAACATGCTTAATATATTATTTATTATTAATTAATTTTAGCTTTTATTCGTGTTAGTTTAAGCCCTAAACCTATTAATTTATAGGGCTTAGCCTATACCCCTAGTATTTATTTTACCCCTATATTTAACTCCCTTATTATTAACTTTAAAGTTTAGTTTAAAGCTAGTCCTGCTATTATTTATTACTATTTTTTATATTAATTTTTTTTATTCTTAATAATTAGTTACACCCAGGTAATTAATTAATAAAGGGTAAATACCCTTATAAAATATAATATAATTACTAGGTTATTATTAATTATACCTATTATGCCCTATACTAAAAGCATAAGTATAATATAATATAATTTACACGGGAATATAAGGGGTGTAAAAAAAGCTTAATTTAGTTAATTTACTTAAAAGGTGTAGGCTTTATTACTTTATTTTATTATTTATAATAGCACAGGCCTTAATTAATTTATTTATAATTATTTTTTTTTTAAGCGTGGCACTTAAATATTTTTAATTTTAAGTATTATATTTATTATTTACCTGTATTACAAGTCCCTGTTTATAAAAAAAAGGTTAATTAATAGTTAAATTTAACTATTAATTACCTAAATAATTATAACTTTTAAAAATGCTATAAAGCTAGCGGGATAAATATTAATATTAACTTTAATTTTTATCCTAATTTAAGTTCTAATTTATTAATTTATTAAATTTTTAGTGGTTTTTATTTTAAGTACCGTAATTTTAAGTATTATATTTATTTTATAAATAATACTATTACCTATACTAGTTTTTTTACTAAATACTATTCCCGTGTTATTATTAATAACTATTATTATATATTTTAAATATAAGATTTAATTTATTATTATATAGGCCCCTTTAGTAATCCCTAAAAAAGTAATAAAATTATATTTATATAAATATATTAACTTAATTTAATTAAGACCCTTTACAGGCGTTTAGGCTATAATATATTTTTAAAGGTTATTAAGTATACCCTAAATTATATTACTTAATATATTTAATAAGTAAACCCCTAGCATAATATTCTTTTTTAAGCTAAAATTATACTTAAGTAAAATATTAATTTTAATTTCCTGCGCTTAATTTTTTATATATATTTTATAGCTAATAGTTAGCTAGGCAAGCGCTTTAACCTTTTTTTTAATTAAGTATATTTAAAATTAGGGTTTTTATTTTTAATAATAAGTAGTAGTTTAACCTAGCTATAGCCTTAAATAATATATTTTATAAAACTAATATATAAAATTTTATTTTATTTTTTTACAAGCCCCCAGACCTTTTTTAAAATTTTTTACTTATTAAACTATATTTAAAAATAAACCCTTATAATACTAGCTTCCCTATTATATCCTAAAATAATATAATATTTTAAAGGTTTTTAACTATTATTAATTTAAATTACCTTTTATACTTACTATTTTACTATATCCTATTTTATATAAAGGGTGCTATAAGTTATTATTATAATTAAAAAATTTATATATTAACCCAGGCTGGGAAGGTATAAAGTAACAAGTAGGTTATTATTATTATAATTATTTTTTATTAATATTATATTTTTACTTATAAAAATAAGTTTAATATTTTATATTAGGGTGCCATGCTTTTTTAGTAATTTTTAATTAATATTTAGCTTTATATAAAAAACGCACGCCTATAAATTATTTATAATATATAAAAAACTTATTATTTTACTTTTTATAATACTATTTTTCACGCCTTAAATAATAAATATAATCCTATATAGGTTAAAAAGTAAATTATTTTAAATACTAACTTTAAGGGTAGTAATTATTACATGCATAAGTCTTATTTTAATTTTATAATACTAGTTTTATAATATAGGACCTTAATATTATTTATTATTTTTATAACTAATTTAAAGTGGGATAAAATTACCCAAAAACTTATTTATAATAAAAATAATATTTTAATTTAAACTTAAAATAATTAGCTTAATTTAATATATTAAGTTTTTTATACCAAGAACTAGATAATACTTTAAAAATTTAAAAATAATATATTTAGTTAGTATATTATATATTATTTTATTATTAAGTTTTAAAAACAGGGTTTATTATATTTTTATACCCTTTATTAGCTTAAATATAGGTTTTTAATATAAAAAAAGATTAATAATCTTATTTTAATTAAAATTCCTAACCTAGATACCCTAGCTAAAGGTAACTTTAATTTAAAGGTGCTATATAATATTATTATATTAACTATAATTTATGGCCCTTGCGGTATACTAAATCCAAAAATATAGTATTATTTTAATAATAATAAAAAGCCCTAAAAATATAATAAAAAATTTCCTAAATTTTTTTACCTTAAAATAGTTTTTTATAAAAGCTAATACCTAAAGTATTAATAATATAATAATAATATTTATATTAATATTTTTAATCCTAATAATAAGT